TAATCCAACTAAAATATATAGCTTAACGCCGTTTAAAATAAGAATATACTATAAGAAGAGGTTTTTAAGCGTTATTTCTAATAAAAAAACCTCTTTAAACTATTTTATTATAATTTAAGTATTAGTTTAATTAGAATTATTATAGGTAAAAGCTTAATGTAAAAAATAATTAAAAAACTATTACCCTTAAAGCTTTAAGCCTTTTAAGATAATTATAGGCTTAATATAATAACTTATAGCACTTATATATTTAAGAATTAAAGCTTACTTATAAGAAGACCCTATTACTCTTATTAAATATCTAATAAGGCTACTTTTAATAACCTTATTAGCCTTAAAATTCTCTTTTATAATATTAGTTTTATTAAAGGTTTTAAATTTAAGTGAAGTTAACTTAATTAATTAAACCTTAATTAAATAATTAAAAAGGTTATAAAAAGCTTATATTTAATCTTTTATTACGTTAAAGGTTCTTTTAAACTTAATACCTTATAATACCTTTATTTTAACCTTTAAGTTACGTTAAAGAAAGTAATTAACTTAATACTTTTTAATTAGGTTATTATTATTACCTTAAGTTATAATAACTTATATAATAGCTTAAACGTTATAATAGCTAAATAGCTTATTAGCTTCTTTCTTATATAAAATTTAATTTATTAGGTCTTTCTCTTATCTTTATAATAATTATTAAGAGCTTACCTTAACCTCTTAAATTAGTTAATAACTATAAAGTTAATTATAAAGAGTTATTTAAGAAAAGCTATAATCTTAGACTACTTAAACCTTTAAAAGGCTAGAATTAACGTCTTTAATAGCAGCTTTAATTCTATTCTTATAAGTAATCCAACTAAAATATATAGCTTAACGCCGTTTAAAATAAGAATATACTATAAGAAGAGGTTTTTAAGCGTTATTTCTAATAAAAAAACCTCTTTAAACTATTTTATTATAATTTAGGTATTAGTTTAATTAGAATTATTATAAGTAAAAGCTTAATATAAAAAATAATTAAGAAACTATTACCCTTAAAGCTTTAAGCCTTTTAAGATAACTATAAGCTTAATATAATAACTTATAGCGCTCGTATATTTAAGAATTAAAGCTCACTTATAAGAAGACTCTATTATCCTTATTAAATATCTAATAAAGCTACTTTTAATAACCTTATTAGCCTTAAAATCCCCTTTTATAATACTAGTTTTATTAAAGTTATAAATTTAAGTTAACTTAATTAATTAAACCTTAATTAAATAATTAAAAAGATTATAAAAAGCTTATATTTAATCTTTTATTACGTTAAGGGTTCTTTTAAACTTAATACCTTATAATACCTTTATTTTAACCTTTAAGTTACGTTAAAGGAAGCGATTAACCTAATACTTTTTAATTAGGTTACTATTATTACCTTAAGCCGCGATAACTTATATAATAGCTTAAACGTTATAGTAGCTAGGTAGCCTACTAGTTTGTTAGCCTAAACGCGACACACACACACTAGTAACTCTATACGCGGTATCGCGATCTAGTTACTTTCTAATTCTCGTAACTCTCTTCTTAGGGCTAGTAAGGTCCCTAAATAAGCAGTAAATTAATTTAAATAGAGTAATTAAATGCTTCTAAAATACTCGTAATCCTAATTAAGCGTATTATAAGCTATAGCCTATTACAAGTGTAAATAAGTAATTAAATAACTTAAACGATTTAGCTATATAGCGTGAGCTCGTATAAGGCCGATTAAATAACTTAGTAAAACATTAATAAAAGATCTTATAAACTTAATTATAAAGGCGAAACTTATTAAATTAAAGACTTATGCGTGTGCCTGTCCTCTTATACTAATAACGTGGCTACGATTAAATGCACTATCCGACTTCCTCCAACTTGTGAGCACAAATGCCACCACACACTAGCTTCTTTCTTATATAGAATCTAATTTACTACTTTCTCTTATCTTTATAATAGTTATTAAGAGCCTAACTTAAGCTCTTAAATTAGTTAATAACCGCGAAGTTAATTACAAAGAGTTATTTAAGAAAGGCCGTAATCTTAAGCTACTTAAACCTTTAAAAGGCTAGAATTAACGTCTTTAATAGCAGCTTTAATTCTATTCTTATAAGTAATATTAATAAAAGCTATAATGTAAATTTAAGGTTAAAAGAGCTTAATTTAATAAAGTTATTAAATGTTAAAAAAAGGGCTCTTACATTAATCGCGTCGTTGTGGATGTGACGAAAATGGGGGGCTGACGATGTTGTGGGGTGGCACGTTATTTCTCCATTCCAACAATCTTGATGCACGATGGCGTCCAGATTGGGAGTTGCCTCGGCTCTCAATTGACGGTTGACGACTTGATCCCGCAGATGACGATTTACCCACCCTCCTCTTGTCTCTCGGAATCAGATACGCTTCCTGGTAGGATTCCTGGTAGAATTTGCCCTCGCATTTTGACCGAGGCTTGGCCTCCCCGCGGCCTCGCCTTGAGAAAATGACCCAGCCGGAGAATGAGGACTACGAGCAGTCTGGGACGGAAACCGCGAACTTCACCTTTGTCACCAGCCAAGGCCAAGATGGCGTCCGCAGTCATGCCATGCGCGAGTATTGGAAACAGCGGCGGCGCAAGTTGAGCGAAAAGAAGGCAAAGGAAGCAGGACACGAGCCACACCTACCTATCCGGCCGCGGCAAAAGGAGTCTGGCCATGTTGCTGGCGTCGCTTCATTACGGTCGCGGTCGCAGTCATCCTCTACCTCTCCTAGCAATTCCAGTCCGCCATCAAGTACGAAGCGCAGCCCTTCGGGCCCGGCGTCCAAGGCGACGCAACCGTCCGTTGCTTTCGGCAGCATCCAGTCTCAGGCGCTGTCTGGAATGAATCGTGCCTTGGAGTCCAGTCGGTTGGATCCGTTTGACAAGTTTCCTGTCAAATTAACAGCCCAGCATCACCGGCTCCTTCACCATTGTAAGTGTTTCAAATCCTTACTGGGTATTGAGAGTCTATTATTGCTGTTTTTTTCACCGGTAATTTTAATTCTGACTCCTGTGTCATAGGGCTGAGCACTTACGCTACCATGATGTTCAATGACCTGCCGAGAAGTTTTAACCCAATGCGCGACGTCTGGCTACCCCTAGACTTGTCGAATGCAGCATCGTTCAATGCCATAATGGCCCATTCAGCTGCTCATCTTGCCCGAAAGCAAGGATTCCGAGCATCCGCAGAGGCATTAAAGTTCAAGGCGGAGGCGATGAGAATCGTCTCCGTCTGGATGAAGGACAAGCATCTCGCTCTGAGCGACGAGGTCTTTGCGGCCGTTTTGCGGCTCCTGACATACGAGGTTCGCAGTATCCAGCAGTCGATTGAGTGTCGGAAAGCAGTATCTGACACACCCTGTGAAACAGCGATATTGGGGAACCGAAGCAGAGTGGAGGATCCATCGCGACGGATTACAGCGCATGGTAGACGCCAGAGGCGGCATTGCGGCTCTACAGAGCAACTGGCGACTGGGATTGGTCACTTCACTGTTTGTTCCCTGCTTTTGTTTCTCGCTTGAAACTTGGGAGTCAAGACTGCTAACTACCATTCGTAGTATAAGTTTAATGGCCAAGACATCATGGTTTGACACATCCAACCAAATCAAGGAGATCTCGAACCCGTCCTTGTCGGCTGCACTGCACCCCATTTTGAACGACAGGATGAGTCTCCATCGCATTCGGTGCCTTTGGCTTCTATCTTTCGTTCAAGATATAGGCAACTTTATGAGCAGTTCGTCGAATAAGAATGGCTTGACGAACAGCACCTGCATACATGAGGCAGTCTTCCTGATCCAAACCGATATGCAGCAACACGAGTCCAAAAACTCCCGCGTCGAAGACTGTCCAGAAGGAGAGTACAGACGCCTGGCTTGTCTTTTCTTCATCTCTGTCATATTGCAAGCTTCTGTGGACAATAACACATATGCAAACACAAGCCGAAGGTTCAGTGAACCTGAACTCATCCACTCGGGCGATGTGGCCTCGCTGGAGAAGCATCTTCACGGATACATAGACCTTTGGCACAATTCGATAGAAGGCCTTTACAGTTGTTTGTTCCAAACGTTTGCTGTGCAGTCAGCTAGAGCCTCCAAAACTGACTACGCCCTAAACATGGCTCATGTTCTTGGGTCAATGAGCAGCGAGGCTCGACATGGTGTGCAGAGGACTCTACTTCATTCACTGTGCCAGGGTTCAACCGACTCTAGAAAAACGTATCAGGCTGAATGGACACCGGATACTTTACTATCAACAATCCACGGCGCTTGATCAAGCTCAGCGCCAAAAGTAGTAAAACGAAAATAGATTTCTACATGTACCCTCGGCGCACAACACTACTTGGCCTCCCTCCAAAATTTCAATCAAGGTTCTCCAGTACAGAGATGGGCGGTGCGTAGAACGTCGTGCCCGTTAGAGGCGTCGAAAAATCCAAGAGGCGATCGTGCTTCCCCGGCGGGTTACCAATAAACATGCGCTCCATCATCTTTTCAATCACCCAGAGTTTCTTGGAATACCCAACGAAATATGTCCCAAACTCCTTGTGCCCCGGCGACCCAAAAGGCATGTTGTCTCGCAGAATGTCATGCTCGTTGCCGTCCTCGTCTTCGATTGTCGCCAGCGTCTTGTGAGATTGTTGCTGCCCCTGTTCTGCGTCGTCTAGCTCCATGTTGTCAAGTTTGGTTCGGCCAATGATGGCCTCCTGCTGCTCAGTTGGCAATCCGCGCCAGCCATCTATATCGTGGACGTATTTTTGCACCACAATATAGCTTCCGCCGGCGGCAGTCGTGTCATCTGCCTCGGCGACACAGACAGCGTCGGTCACATCTGACCCGACAGGATTCGCGGTGCCGTCGACGAATCCTAACAGATCCCGGGCGTCAAAGTAGCGGAAGCCGGTGGTCTCGTCCTCCACCTTTATCGAGCCCCCCAGCTTCATGAGCAGCTGGTTCTCGAATTCGAAGCTGACGTCTCTCCTCTCGGCCCGTATGTGGAACAGAAGGTCTCCGGGGGTCGAGACGGCAGTGTGCTTGGCTCCGCGGACCTCGGGGAAGGCGTGCAGCTCCTTGGGCTTGGGGATGCCGGTGAGTCGATCCCAGATTGAGCTCCCGATGCCAACCACGCAGCTTAGATTGGAGCTGGGATGGCGGATGGCCACGTTTTTGGTAATGTCGCCAATGGATGAAAGCGCGGCGCGGATCGTGGCCGTGGCATCCGGCGATTCCGTTGCCGAAACGACCAGAAACGTCGCCGACTGTGTGAGGGGGCTTGCCACGGGCTGGGAACTCATGGTTGATTTGGACTTGGACGACGTGGAACTGGCCGCCGGGAGGGTTGGGGTGGGACTGGGCAATGCGGCGGATGTGTATATGTGGCGGGCGAGAGCTGGACGTGCTTGTCTGGCTTGGAGGGCGAGGGTGATGCGGGTCGAGGTGACGACCCCAGAGGGCATTGATGGCATGATACTCAAAGGGGCGGCATTGGAACGCTGCCTTGACGGCAAAGTCTCAAGACTGTGAGTTGCCCGCAATGTATGGAGCCTGGACCGCCTTGACTCGCGTGCGGGCTAGAATTGTTGACGGCGGGTTGAGATATGTAGCACTGGCAATGTTGAGAGCTGGTGTCCCGAGGTGTTGAGCTACCATTAGGTAGTATTGATGTAGGCACGGAAAACACCACAACCCCGCCCCTTCTCGGACGTGTTCCGCGCCTCATGGCCCAAGTTTGATACATACACATGTATCCAGTTTGCACATGTCAACTGGTGGTATCTTGCATCTCGGAGGCTTCGATTGCTCCAGCCAATTTTCCAATTTTCCCCACTGCAGTTTTTTGCTGGGGCCCCCTTCTGATGCCCGATCAGGTAAGAGTATCGAGCCAATAAGGATGGCTAGAATTCTAATCGCCCTGCTCCCGAGCACCAAGCAAATTCAGACACTGGAAGTGGACTATTCCCGGTTTATTGCCGCTGAAGATCAAATTTATAAACTCATGGCAGAAGAGCATTAGCATAGGGCGGCGCCAGCGGCGGAGGAAAAGGAACGAGACTTACATACGTATAATTATCCAAGTTCCTCGCGGATCATCGCACCAGCGCCTCACTAATCAAAAGCTAGTTTCACGCCATTTAAGTACTACAAAGCTCAAATGTATCGGCGAGATTTTCTCGGTGGAAATGAAGGGTGCGACTATATTGAAAGCCGGGGTTAATACACGTACAAAGAAGAGCTACGTGTACTCTTCTCGCGTCGGCCTGAAAATGTGACCGAATAAAGTCCCGTAGGCGCCAATGCGGTGTAATAAAGCTTGTACCACATGTACAAGGTGAACCGTCATCCGAGGGTAATGCCGGCATAAAGATTCCGAGCCGAGAACAAACTCGGTTGGCGCGGCACAGATTGCCTCGTCGTTTGATTTGTTTCGAGTCGCTGCTGTGGAAAGACGAGAAAAACAATATAGATGCGTCGTAGAATTTTGTGAATATCGGCAATCCATATTTCAATGACTTGAACGAGTACTGCCCTTGGCATAAACGCTAAGCCAAATGTGGTCAAAACGCAACAGCGCCCTGGTGGCGCCATTCATACCAGATATCATATCGGCTCCTTAGTATAATCTTAATTGATATTAGACTTTTTTTATCTCGCGTCCTTCTCACACCAAGGATTGCACTATTGAGACAAGTAGCAGCTCAAACCGCAAAACGCTTATTATTTTTCATCTCTCGTCAAAAGAAGGCCCTCCCTCCACAACCACTCCAGCTCCATATTGACATGACTGACAAACTCGCTGTTCACCATGGGCGCCTATCCAGGTGGTATGATATACGAGAACGCAACGCTGCCTTCCCGTTCCGCTCACTGGTATTCCGTCATGGACCATGACGGTCGTGCGAAGGGGTTTGCACCATATGTAGACCACCCGGAAGAGTACCAAGTCTTTGTATCCGCAAAAGAAAACCAAGCAGAATCCATCCAAGAGGCCATCGATGATGCCGCCGGGTTGAACCGCAATGCGGCCCAAGAACGTCATGGCTATTGGGTGTCATCTATGCCACGGGTATGTGATGACCAGGGAACAGCGTGTGGAAGTGCCCCAGCGCTGATGTTTGATATTGCAGGTGGTCTATGTCCCCCCCGGGAACTACACATTTAAAAAGACTCTGGTCATGAACACGGACACCATTCTCATGGGCGACGCCCGTGATCCTCCCGTCATCCGCGCGACCCCCGACTTTAAAGAAGATGTTCTTCTCAACGGTGGCTGAACCCCCCCTTTTTTTTCGATCGAGGTAACACTCCTGCAAGGGCGATAGGCAGCTAACCAAGCGTGGTTGTGCAGGCATGGCTCCCAGCTACATGCCCAACGCCGGCGAACTGGCGAATACAGTGGCCTTGAAGAATGTAATTCTCGACACAACGGCCGTGAATAGATGTGAGAGAATATATCCCGTCAAAGACAAACTCAACAATAGGTGGACAGGACCTGCTGACATCAAGCGCAGCCAGGGAACTCACCGCGCTCTACTGGGGAGTCGCTCAAGGGTCTCATCTTCAGAACGTCCAAATCAGGATGGCACAGTCGACCGACCGTAAAGACGGACACACTGGCATCAGACTGGGCGTAGGCTCAATTCTCAGCCTGGGTGATGTCCGAATCGAAAATGGCCTAGTCAGTCATTTCCATGTGCTCATAGAAACGCACCTCGCTAACGTCTGTGATGCCGTCTAGAACGGAATCTGGCACGACGGTCACCAGAGTGCGCTTTTGAAAAATATCAGCTTCTACCGCAACACGGTCGGTCTGCGCGTTTCAAACGGCAGCGCCGTCACCCTGCTTGCTCCGACTTTTGAAAACGTCGACGTCTGTGTCAACCACACGAGCGGCAGCGCCTTTGTTGGCATCGTCGACGGCAGGTCCATCAACTCTGGCCTCACATTCCTCTCTGGGCAAGCAAGCAACGACACGAACCGGCCTTCTCTTCTCCTCGACAACTTGGACACAATACGCGACCCGGAATATGAGCTCGAGAACACCGTACAGATAAATGGTCGTACTGTCCTTGGCCCCGTTGACCATGTCCACAGCTTCTCCTATGGAAACACGGTAGGTCGCAACCCCATCTACGGCGTGACAACTAACAAGACCATCGCACGGTCACGAATAGCTGCCCCCCATGGCAGAATCCCTGTACACCCGCCCCCAAATTACGCACTCAGCACCTGGTCGGATTTTATAAACGTCAAAGACTCTAAACAGAATGGTGGGTATACCGTCCGGGGAGACGGCACGACGGATGACGTTGAAGCCCTTACCAAGGTCCTCCAACACGCCGTCAAAGAGGACAAGATTGCGTACTTCCCCTTTGGCGACTACCGTATTTCTTCGACGCTTGTCATACCGGTTGGATCCCGTATTTACGGCGAGGCGTGGCCAGCCATCTCCGGGGCGGGCACCCGCTTCTTGGATGCGGAAAACCCGAGGCCCGTCGTGCAAGTCGGCAAGGTGGGCGACCTCGGCACGATCCATATTCAGGACATGCGCTTCACGGTTGCCGAAGTCTCTCCGGGTGCCATCATCCTTCAGTTCCTCGCGCATGGTAAGAAGCCAGGCGACGTGGCGATGTGGAACTCCATCGTCAACGTTGGGGGACTCCGAGGCGCCCCGGACATGGCGTGGCGTTGCGCAGATGGCTCTCATCCGTGCCAAGCGGCCTACCTGGGCATGCATTTCGCCAGGGGATCCTCCGTCTACGTCGAAAACGTGTGGAACTGGGTAGCCAGCCGCAACGCCGAGGACTTCTTCGCCGGCGTGAACATTGCAGCAAAGGGCGGCGTCTTGGTCGAGTCCACCAACGGCACCTGGTTTCACGGCCTGGGCTCCGAGCACTGGTGGCAGTATCAGCTGAATCTTCGATCGGCCTCCAATGTCGTCCTGTCAATGCTCAGGACCGAGGCCAATCCTGCGCAGGGCGATGCAGCAAAGCAGATGCTTCCTTGGCCAGGGACGTCCGATCCCAAGGGCTGGGGAGACCCCGATTACTCCCGGTGCCATGACTCTGACCCAGCCTGCCGCATGGGCATTGGCAACTACATCAACGGAGGGTCTGACATTTACTACTATGGAGCTGCGTCGTGGGTGTCCCGCGCTGGGCCTGAACATCCGCGCTGCTACGCAGGCTACCAGTGTCAAAGTAAGTCCCATTCCCGTCAAGGTCCCGCGGATACCCAAGAAGCCAGCGCTGAAATAGTCTCTCGCAGGATACATGCACTATATTGCCAATACTCCCACGAATCTTCAGGCATACGGCTTGTGCTCCAACGATACCAAGTATGCTCTTCGCCTTGGAGACGGTACAAATGTTGTAGCGAACGGCTCATTTTATGGACCTGGTTGGCCCAAGGGCTCTGTTGTTGGCCGTTATACAACCTAAGTCAGAGAATGGTCATGTATTAGGAGCTCAGCTTTGGAAAATCCTGTCAACATGGTAGTCATCTCGGTGTTACGGGCTTCGTCGCCGCTTCTAACCGCACCTAACTTTTGCCCAACTCTTTTCGTCCTCATCCTATTGAAATAGAGAATAAAATACAATTGAAACCCTATATATTGATACCAGTTTCAAGCACTCTAACTCTACGAGTTCCACACGGAAATTAATTCCTTGGGATAGCACCAGTGTCATAAAGTTCAAAAAGTAGCTACACAACAGAAAAGCAAAAAAGGGGCTAGACAGGGCATCTAGTAACACTGTATTTTGGCCGTACCTAGGCCAGGGAACCGTAACTAACCACGCAGGACAGCACGAACGCATTTTAATGCGTTCGACACACTAGTCGAATTGATAACTTATATTATAAAAGCTTAGGGAAACTCCGGGAGTTACTCGGGTTAGCTCATAAGCCGCCTAGGATAGCGCACTGGAGCTCAGAGAGTGCTTAGGTTAAAGTAGCCACAGCTTAGGAACTCTTTTGAGAAAGGGAACTGGGTCCGTCTTAATTAATGTTCTGTTCTATCCTATAGCAGGATATTAGTCAGGAAACAGGTTTGGTCTCTGCTCTGCCATGCCAAAGTTCCGTGTTAGTTGTAGCGTTATACGAGATATTTATTGGTTGCGAAACTTGAAAGAAATCCCAACACAGAGTCGCAATGTAAGTGGAGATTTCGCCTTTCAAATGTCGTCAGGTGTCACGAAAAAGTGGAGAGACCAATACTCACGCTGGAACCATGACTTATCCTCAGCGACGAAGTAATGCTAATGCTAAGGACTATCATGAAGAGACCTATACTCGTGCCGAAAGCATGACGTATTCTAATGTAGCTGAAGGACGCAGCATCGACGTATATAGCAATCTATTAGACCGCGATAACCTTGCCCTAGGAGCTATTGAAAGGATGGACATTACCCATCAAATCCTTGACAAACCGGAATTCACTATGGAACGAGCTTAGAAATTGGATCGCACGGCAATGAGTACTTCACCGGCTACTGGAATTCCTCAACGAAGCATGGAGGCTTCTGGGCTAGTGACCAAGCCATTGGCAAGCCAAACTTCCTTGAAGGTTGCCAGTCTAATGGGTTTGGGTTTACGCAGAGTACCTTCCACAAACTTCATTGTCTCGCGAACCTCCGAATGATTCTCGCTTGGCACATTACTGGTAGCGGTAACAAGATGACGCGCGACATGAATGCGCACACTAGACACTGCTTGCTAATCACTATTTTTCACTGCGTCGGAGTGAATTTCCCTAAAAAGACATTCTCTATCTCGCTACTCACTTACACCTTCATCGTCAGGAATATATTCGTTGGCGTGAGCTGGCACACCCTGATGTGAATGAGGAGCCTATTGACACTGTCGATTACGAGGGCATGGGGATCAATTAAGCCTGGGACTTGGGGTTTTAGTAGCGTAGATGCAGTGTCTACTGACTTTTTCCAATTCAGGTCTCAGTGAGGCTAGAATTAGACGCACTAGAGGGTGTTCTCATGTGGTAAAGGGTTGGTAGACTACGGCTACTGTCATGCTTCTAGTCTCGAGTGTGCTGTGACAAGGGCTCAATAGAGGGCTTGAAGCAAAAGGGCTCAATTCAATGATAATCTTGTAGGATGTCAAAGGTCCTTGGTTCCTCCAAGCTAGAAGGCGAGGGGAGACCATCTTATATACATGAAAGGAACGGCCCGTGCCTAGTGTGCCCCATAGTTCTCGTGATCTTCTTGTGTAACAAAGGGCTTCTAATCCTTGCTTGACCTAATCCGTGTGACATGTGCACGAAACAAGCACAAGGTATTGTTTCTCGAACTTCTGAATAGATTGCAAGTATATATGGCCCCTCGGTGAAACAATTTACGCCATGTAGCTAGGTAGAAGCGATAGCTAAAGGCCTTTATAATCGTTTTGCATCAGTCGATTCGTCTGCCCATGTGGACTTGGTGATACGTTGCTCTCATGATCTTCCACGAAGCACTCTTATTGTTTGTCTCTCACACTAATGTCGTCTAGAAATCAAAGTCATGTCTCAGCTCCGCAAAATCACCACATCCCCGAAAGTGCCAAGAACACCGTCTTGTACTTATCCATTCAATGGAACACGACGTCAGTATGTGATCCACGTTCACTTGATCTCGGCCCAGGCCTGCAACTCTTGCCGCTTAAGGCTAAATAACAAATGCAACAGTGTGTTGGTTACAAAGGATCCGTTAGCGCCGCAAGAGACGCCCTTTAACTGAATCCCTGCACGGACACCATCGCCCCAGACCCATCCGGAGCGGGACATCTGGACCTTTTCTAGACTTGAGCGCCGTAACAGAGTGCTAACGATGCAATGCACAGTCCGTATCCTTCCATTGACGCATATCAGGCTGCGTTGGGTGATGAAGTGGATGAGGGTTTGAGTGGAGCGAGTGCGCTTGAGCCTTGCAAGCCCACCATTTTGCGTCTTTTCAAATAAATCTCTCCTATTTTCCCTTCTTCTTTGTATGTGCGAGATTTATCTTACTTTCCTCTCAGCCTCCCGTCATTCATATCAGTGTCTTCACCCAGAGATGGCTCTTAATGTCAACCAAGACGGCTTTCAGCGGCGGCTTGCTGTGGTTGAGCAAATACTGCAAAGCCATGACCTCCAGGTTAGTGAATGTTGTCGCCACGAGGCAGCATTTGACTGCTCATTGACTAATTGCGCTTCTTATGGGCTTCGAATATCTCGACTCTGGCATACAGTGAAGAATACCTGTATCCGTTCAATAACTACTTGTTTAAAGTAGAGCTAGCAACTCCAGCCCTATCCTCCTCGTTCCCAGGCACGCAGCCTGGCTCCCTCCAATGGCATATCTGTAATTGTGATTAAGCTTAGCAACCCAGCGGCCACCGGAGTCAATAATACCAACCGCGTAGAGAATGACGTAGCGGTGCAGCATCTCGTCCGCCAGTCTATGGCGCATGCCGGACTGCCTCAGTTAGTCCCAGCTATTTACGCCTGAATGCCAACCACAATTACCGATACCGTCAATGAAAAGTCCGGGTGGATTATATCTGAACTAAGAAGTGGTGTTGGCTTGGACTCCGAGTTCTCGTCACTTAAGATGCAGGATAAGGAGCAGGTTCTGGAGCAAATGGCCAACGTCTTAAAGGCAATTCAAACAACTAAATTACCAGAAAGCGCTATATTTGGAGGAGTTACATTTGACTCTGACGGACGAATTGTGAGCGGACAGGCGCCTCTCCGGAAAGGCGAACCCGTAAAATCATATGCCGAATGGAGGGTTAGTAAACTACGCGGGCAACTCCAAGAAGCCGCCCGAAGCCCGGTTATTCAGGGTTGGAAGCGTAATGGCGTGGACGCGAGGATTGAAAAATTTCTTGCTGCCGATGGCCCCGGGAAAATTCTCAGTAACGTCGACCCGGACCAAAAGAGCTTGATACACGGAGACTTTAGTACGTATGCCCCGTTTCAGAGTAGCCATCCATTGACTGACAATATCAAAACGACGAACAATGTGCTATTCGATAAGGACACTAAGAAACTAACAGCTGTCCTGGACTTTGACTGGTCTGACATCTCTAACCCTCTTGACGAGTTTATGTGTAGCCTTCAAGACGTTGGTGGAAACATCCGCCACGAGAATAAGAAGATCGAGGCTGCGATTCTCTCTGGCGACTTTACATGGCCACCCGACAACCTAGATGAGGCATCCGTCAAGCAGTGGCAAGTCGCCAAGGCGTGGAATGCGGCATAGAAGTGTGGGATGGTGTCTCCGAGTGAAATTCGTGGTGTGGACGAGATTCGCGATCTCCTCCACTTGCAAGCACTACTGTGTCCATACCAACTTGGCAACGAATCCATGCTCAAGAAGCTTGATGATAAGAAAAGAGCACAGATGCGGGCAAGGACGGAAGCGGAACTGATACAGTGGCTAGAGAAGCATGGTTTTTAGCAATGCATTCTCAGGGTCAAGGGTGGGTTAAGCTATCCTTACTATATAGCATGTCTGATATAGCTAGGTACACAGGTTTGTCCTCCATGATAAATTATCCACTGACATTAAAGTAAACTGTAGCCCCAACTAGACTCTTCCATCCTAACCCTAAGCCACACTCGATACCTGCAGGCTCACAAACTGCAGCAATTTCACCAAAGAGTACAGAATGAAACTTGATAAAACTTTGAGCATTATTGTAGCGTTGATTCTTGTGATGCATATATCATCCTTCATATTTGGGAGCGAGATGATAGTAAAATTCATATTTCACATGCTGATATCAATTTCAAGGTCACCTTATTCTCTTAAGCCCAGCAGAAATGAGCGTACTTGGACATTGTACAGAGGGGGCTGCCCAACATGATGGCAAGTACCTCGCGCTTTTTGAAGTCTTTCGCCATAGTCACTGTGTTTATTTGATTCGCAAATATATCTTTCGAGAGCATTATCCAGGCTGGAACTCTCTGAAAGGGTCCCCAAATGCCGTTCTGGGACATGTTGGCAGGCTCTCCATCCACTGCAACACGATAATAATGACTATCTGAGCTGACGCCTGCGTCCAAAATCGGTAGATGACTGCATGACCTCATCCGTCAGAAAATAACGATGCCGACATTGGACTGATGGTGTACTCGTATGACGCCGAAGCCCAATTTGCGGAAGCCCGTACATCAAATATGCACATGTGCCGAGACTTCCAGGCCATTAAATCTTGGGCCGCAAAGCGTTGGTGGGAGCGTGATTTTTCGTAATCCATTGATGGATATCTTGGGAGTTAGTTGGCAAAGGTGGTTGGCCTTGTTGGTGCACGGACTGCGGTTACACCGTCATCATGATAATTTGATAAAGTTTCGTTACTTCATAGGGGGGAAGGGGACAAACGCCAACTATACACCTCCTCGTTACATCCTGGGCGATCACCAGGATGATTAGCAGTGAAAGACATCCCGCAACTACGAATCATCTTTGCTAATCGGTATGGTGTGTACCAGGATGTTAGGTCTAGTCTCTGCTCTGCCATCTTTTGCAAAGTTCCGTGTTGGTTGTACTAGATATTGAAACTTGGTATATCCTGACACAGAGTTGTAGTGCAAAGTGGAATCTTGTGCGAGGACCCCGCATTCAAGGAGATCTAGATTTAGCCTTCAAATGTTGTTCATGATGCCCACGTAATCTACCCAGCTAGTGTTTGTTATACGAAAAGATATCAAAAAAAAAAAAAAAAAAAAAAAAAAAAGGCGTCGCCACGCCAAGGTATTTTATGTGTTGTACGCCCTAAAATGCTGCACGACAATATGCGTACGGTTTACTCCTCCAGGGGAAAGTTACTTGCTGGATGTGCCTCATTTTCCGAGCTTGAGTCTCCAACTGCTGATTCGCACATGTTCTTTTATGTCTGTGTTGGGCATCCATGACCAAAATACTCGAAGGGTCAGAAAGGCTCTAAATTGCTGCAAACAGTACTCCATATCTCCATTCCTACCATGGCCAATTCTGTAAGCCAGTGCTCCGCTTTGGTAGATGCCATTGTAAAGGACAAGTTCCTCTACAGTCGGGCAGTTTCACCGTGAAAGAAATCGATCGCGCCAAGAACAACCACGTCTACCTCATTTGCCTTGCTCAAACAACCACGGAACTGCTGCTGTCAAAGGACTCATTCCACAAGCCTTTCACTTCTGCGATTCCAGCCAATACCTCTCGGTTGGTATTGAGAGTTCCAAAAAGCAACGTCAGCTTAGAGAACTCGGTGCGGGTACGCAATGAAGTCGCATTCCTTGCTCTGGCCCGCCATGCACTTTCGTCTCTTGACGCCTCACTCTGCCCACGGATATTTGACTGGGAAGATATGAACTCGAACAATCTCGGCTCCGGCTCTAGGCTTGGCTGGATTCTTGAGGAATGGAAAGCCGGGCGGGTGTTGGAACAGGGACATGTCGAGGGACTGGACAACGAAACGCAACAGTATGTACTTGATCAGATTTCACAAGTCACCAAGTTGCTCTATGAATACTACTGCCCTCCAGAGAATGCCACAGGCTTTGGAGGTCTCACATTTGATGAGCATGGCAACATGTCAAACACGGCGACCACGATACCCTGAGGCGGGCCGTTCCAAGCTTATGGCGATTTTTTGAGCGCCATGTGTGCGTGGCAGCTGAGTGCCAGTGAACGAAGCACGCACCTAAACGGATGGCGAGGTGTGCCTAAACTACGACAAAGATTGGCTGCGTTTTTGGCGAGCGGAGGAGTCGATAAGGTTCTCAGCAACGTACCAGAACAAAAGCCAACCATGGTCCATGCGGATTTGTGTAAGTGCATCTAATTAAGAGCATCAAGTTGGGTATCTCTCTAATACTGAACTTTCACAGAAGTCACAAGACTCATTGTCTTCATATGCTTCTCCAATCGCTAACGTGCACGGCCGATGTCGGTATCATAACGCACAACTGGGTGTACAACGAGAACGTTGAAGAGCCGAATAAGACCGATGGCTGACTTTAATATGGTTAAAAAATGTGCAGATTTTGAGGGACTATTGGGTTGGATCAGAGAGGAAAAGGCGATTCAGGACCTTGGCCTGAAGTGGCCGGAGCTTCGATGTGTTCCTGGAATGAACATCGTTCCAGGTGACGGATATGCTAAAAAGGCGAACTAGAATGTAAATCGCACACACGGTTATGAATGGTATAATCTCTGCTGGCCTGTACTTCTCTAGATGTCACGGCATGGTTTCGTTAGACAGTTGACAAACAGTACGTGGCGCGTCGAAATGTCCGAAATGCGGTGGCATTATAACGCCGTGGTGGTCGTTCTATCCTTCAAAAGCACCAAGACTCTTTATATCCATGAGGTATAACTACCGGACAGTATTTCCACTCAGCTCTTATGCCCCGCAAAATACGTGAGTGTGAGAAATTTACCTTTGTTTGTGGTATTAGAGGCAATCACAAACTACCACACGGGTGTCATATAAAATTACGAACCAATCTTTGAACTTGAAAAGTCATTTACGTACATAATTTTGCGCATCTATTTCTAGTCTAATAACTTGACTATCATGATTAAGTTGATTTTAAGTTTTTTTTTTTTTTAATACAGATAATAATACAAGCGTGATGCAAGCACTGTGCATGATGATTTGGTTGATATACTAGGCATATAACAACCCAAGCGAGGTAAATAAAGCCCTAGTGCTTTCCTTTGGAGTTTATACAGCTCTATGCTTTGCAATCACCATTTTCGTCTAAAAAGAAAATCTTCTTCTTTCTAGCTCCCTCCTCTTTTGTAATCGACTCCGTATTCCAGTTCATATGCGCGGCTATCCGATCTTTTCCCTCCCCGCGAAGCTTCTTTAAACTCTCGGCATAAGTATTTTCCCGAAACATGAATAATTGGCCATTGACGACTTGGGTCTGATCAAGCAATCTCACGTTTAATCTCGTTTTGCTGTTGCTTTTGGGTATCATGTCTTGAGTGATGCCGCTCGGAAACGGCCCAACAACCCCTGCTCGCCCATCGTTTAACAGCACATCCATGCCACGCTGGTCGTCCTGGAATACGCGGCTCCGATAGATTCCCATCCGCCACGAAGGAGCTTCAAACACATCAACCATCTCTGACCACAGGGAAATAGTCTCGTTGCTGCTCTTCATCCAGAACAGACCATTGCAAATTGGCGGCACAAGCGAGCCCCTGCGATACTCGTCTTGGAAAGCATCATGGCTGGTGTAGAATTCTCGCGCATCGGTGCTGTAGACCATGTCGACGGCTGCTCTGTCACTGTCGTTCTGTGGCATGATGACCAGGGGAGATTGCCAAAACACAAGATCGGCATCAATCATGAGAACATCATAACCTGTGGATAGAAAATCGATAAAGAACTGAGGGCGTTGGCGCATCATTCGGTGGTAGGCTGGAGTGTTGCCGTGGACATTGAGATTGCCACTTTCGGCCCAAAGAGTCGCATCTCGATACGTGGCAAACCCCTTGCCGTTCAATGTGGTCTGCGCACCCTCATCCAGGGCCCAGAACAGGATGGATTTTGGGTCGAAGGATGTCGCGGAAAGAGAGCAGAGCAAGTTTTCCATCAAGTGGAGCATGCCAGTGTTCACCGGGACAATGACTACCGTGTTGTTAATTGCATGCGATGCAAAGGTTTGCAAGTCGCTCTCTGGAACACCATGGCCTCGCTGAATGGATGTCGACGATTCGACAATGCGAGCCCAACAGAAGTAGACGACGCATAACAGGAACGCTACAGCTGCGATTTTGATGCGGGGTTTTCGCGCGATGAGCGAGACGGGGGACCATCCACGAGCCATGGCCTGCACTTGGTGCAAGAGGTGAGAATGGCAGCGTGTTTTGGTGTCGGAAACCGCTGAGGTAAGAAAATGGCGTCTGGTCGCTTCAAGTCGGCACAGCCCCCCTGATTCTGCCTGCTCTCAGGGGCGTCATGGCATGGCTCAAAAACTCGAACAGCCACATGGCAAAGAGTTGCGGATTCACGTCTGAGAAGGGGTGTCGATTCATGCTAGCACAGGAAATTATCGGATGGTAAACCGCAAATGCAAGGCCACGGGAACTGGTGCGCGTACATGATTCGACGAGACATCTGGCGATCTCTTTTCCCTTGCCAAGACGCGCACGTGAGTGGGCTCTATGTGGCGCCCCAGGTGCTCCGTACGTGGGAAATCAAGCGTCAAGCGCTCGGAGCCGAGTTGCCTGGGAACCAGACTGCTCACCAGCCCAAATGTTTGGCCGATATGCTGGGTGCCGTTTGCCTCGGACCGCGTAAGTACTACGGCGACGACGATCCTCGATGGAGGAAGTTGTTTGACGGGCGTCGAATGACTAAGCGGTTACGCGTCGCCGCCGGCCTGCCGTTATTGGTACCAGTGCAGCGATTAGCCAACGTTGAAATAAATCGACCTACCAAATTCACCAGTTGCATCTAGTTCAGTCCGCCCATTGAATCACGAAATGCAGCACCGACGTCAGTACTTGCATTGTCATCTGACAACTACAGGCTGGTGCCCGTATTCGATCCATCTCCAAAATTCGCAGTCATTCCGCGGCTGACCCTCACTTTCTCGACACCTCTGTTGATTGAGCCTCTGGATCGCTTGTCATCACACCTCGGCCAGAGGGGTGAACCCTCCGCACGCATGTTTGCATGCCGCGAGGATATGAACAGCGGCCTAGGAGGTGGCGGTGGCAATAAGCTGCGCAAATTGGAATATGGTAAGCCAAACCAAGCTACTTATCCGCGTCGTGCCTCTTCCACGAGCTAATGAACTTCACACCAGTATTAGCCGATGCAGTAGCTCAAACTCCCCGGCCAGAATATCTCGTCACCGAAGGTGGGATCCAGAGCAACCATGTTCGCCAGGTTGCGGCAGCAGCGGCGAAATTGAACTTTAATTCCGTGTTGGTCATTAACGATCTTGTCCCTGATAGAAGCCATGGTTCGGATCCCCATCTTAGTAGAAGCTACAACGAGCAGGGAAATGTGCATTTAACGGAGCTCATGTCTGCAGCGCGCGAAGAACACCCCGGGGTAAAGGCCAAGGAGCTCCTAGATACGAAACGGGGATATTGGATCCCGTCTGGCGCGTCAACGCATCCACTAGGTGGCTTAGGTTATGCAAAATGGGCATTTGAGCTCGTGGAGAGGGAACGAGAAATGGGTGTGTTCTTTGACTCGATTGTTCTCTCAGTCATGTCCGGGAGCACGCTTGGCGGCATGGTCGCTGGCTTTGCGCTGGTAGACGAGCTTCAAAAACGAGCCGGCGGGCTGCCACGCGAACGGCGGCTGATAGGCGTGGCAGCAGGCCCAAAGCGCAGGGAAGACTTCGTAAAACTTGTTTCGGAGATTGCAGAAACAACTGGTCGGAGGATCGGGCTCGAAAAACATAGCTTCACAGGCAACGCTTTCGAAATCGATTTGCGATGGCACGGCGATGCGTATGGCAGGCTAGATGACAGGACTAGGAAGTATATCAAGCTGGCGGCGAGTACTGAAGGCCTAGTCGTCGATCCCGTCTACTCTGGCAAGGCTTTAACCGGCGTTTGCAGAATGGTAGAAGAAGGTGAGCTCCGGGGTAATGTTCTGTTCGTGCATACTGGCGGGGTGTTGAGTCTCAGCGCTTATCCTGACATGAGATAATGGCGCATCGAATTTGCTCCATACGGATGATTCACCATGCAGGAGACGTGGGTGTCGAACTTTCTGGCCCATGTCGGTTGTTTTCTTCCGACTTACCACTTGTCTGGATGCAAATTTGCAACCAAATGAGTGGATTCGATATGTATGATATTTTCGCGTAATTTCCGGGCCAACTATGTAGCTATAAAGTAGTGACAGCATGACGAGCCAAAATAACGCACTTTTTACCTGATTATAACGAGTGTATCGGTTTTCGGCTTGTGTCTATATTCACCATCCACAACATGATCCAAATTGGTTTACATGGTGGCTTGCAAGGCTCTTTTAGTACGAATTGATAATACGACTTGGAGGACTCGAAATACTCACTTTCCACTCGATTCAGGGCAGCTGGGGCAAAATTATATCCACTATCCATTTCCAAAACGCGCGAGCGCAATGAAAGTTGTCTTCTTCGTGTGGGCGCTAGAGGCATTTGGCCAGATTACAACAACAGCATACGGCACACCGGGTTATTCAATTAGATTTGTATCAACTATAGATGATAGAAATTAAAAGGAAGTATAAATAAGATAACACAAGAAAAACTGCCCTGCTCCTAATGTAGCGAAGATACCCAACATCAAATAGCTTCTAGTAGATCCACAATGTTTAGAGATGTAGCGGACTGACTAAAGTGGCTTTGAAAATTGCTCTAGTTTAGGAACAGGAAGCGAAAAGCGCTTTTTACGCACATTGAACGACACGCCGACGCGAAAGACTTGGAGAAGTATTTAAACGCTAGCGAGATTGTTACGATTAAGCAGCTATGTATCGAATTGAATAGTGGCATTAGTCCCTGATTGAAGCTATATACCGAGGAACTTGAGGCCTCTTTTACATTTGATGACGACTTCAAATAGGCTATATTTTTAGGGGCCTCTAGAAGGCCTCCAAAGACCTCAAACCACTGTTGAAGCAGCTTGTGTAGCAGCTAGCGTTTCCAATACAGCGTTTTCCGAGCCCTTTCCGTTGACAGATGTCCTAATGTGAGAGCTAGTAAAGGCCCTACTATGGGTAGTTATGAGCTCAAGGTGAGCCTCGAGAATGCTCCCCTCCTTTCCTCCCTCGTTTTACATATGCAAATCGTACGGTACCTGTGTATTGAACCGAGAGCGGTCTAGCCTCTCAGAACGACTATTTGTTCCATCTGGAGGCTCGCCTAATTCTCAGTAACGTTGATCCGCCCACGCGTGATAAAAGTATTAGCTGCTGCGCTAGCTATAAAATTCAGTCGCCTTGATTATATCAAGGCACCAAGGGCCATGAGGGCAGCCAAGCCGACTCCAGGGGCAACAGGATTCGGCCCAGCAGCGATCACCGTAGTGTTTGTCCGTCTAGTGGTTGGTCGTGAGATGGTCCCGACGCTGGTTCTGCATCGGGTCAGTTCCAGTGTTTATTTTTATGCAGCATAGGCATCTTTACTCACGTAGGACGCCCGGTAGTTCGCGCAGTAATCCTAGAAGTGGACGTAGCAGCTGGGACGCGGCTTACACTAGCCACGCTGGAGACGGCACCGGTGTTGGCTTGGCAGTAAACGCCAATGGCAGATGCGATGACAAGAGCAGCAGTGAACTTCATTTTAATACTGAGACAATATAGCGTTGGGTATGCCAGCAGTGCAGGTCAAAGTAGCCTTGATGAGGTGGGGCGGTGAGTGTCCTTGAGTGTCCTTGAAAGAGCCACGATGCTTGGGATGCCTGGGGGGATTTTATAATGACAAGACCTTCTGCAAAAAGGGCCCATGACGATGTACGGTACATGAGTTTCTAAAATGAAACTGGTGTGGATGTCCCAGTGTACTTCGTTGAAGGCTGAATCGTGATGGGGCCCTATCGTTCTCGCACGTATTGTGTCATCTGCACGGCCGATCCTAGATGGAAGATGTATGACCAAGGCAAGCTTACGACACACTATCAACTTGATACGGATCTACGCTGTGGTCTACTAGTAGTCGATTCCAGTGTACTTTTAATGCGTCTGATGTTTCATGGAGTCGTCATGATTTTGGTGTTTTAGCCTTTGTTTTAGCTTGAAAGTACCCGTATAAAAATAGGCCAAAAATAGCCCGTAGCTATAACAAGGCCGCAGCTCGGATACAAAACGCCCTCATTTCACCAATCGTGCCATCTCTACTTTTCAACAGTACAGGGCAATTATCTAGATACAAGTTAGTCCGGAGTCTAGGGTGTTATCCCAGAACAGATTATCCGAATCTAATGGTTGCGGGGACAATGCATTTCATATATATAAGCCCCCTGTCACAGATTAATTGTGTGAAACCAGCGGCCGGACCCCTACGGTAGGTAATCATGCATTTCAATGAGGCATTTAATGGCCAACTTGCTACGTAGGCGTAGTGAGCTGCTAGCAGGTATGAAAAGCAGCTCGCATAAGAAAGAAAGTAATAAGGTCTGGAGAACATTAAGGCCGCTTTACAGACCTACATACTAGGTAGTAGTTATCTTGCCTTGTGTCGCCTGCGCTCATCTCTGCGGTCGCTTGCCATTAAAACCTAGTCCTGACAACCCCCACGTTTTATGTGTTGCCTTATGAAAAGGCGGGCAAAGTTTCATGCGTACGAGACCCTTATATGCCTCACAATGACTCCATCAAAGACATTATTGAGTTGATTTAAAAAAATTAAAAGAAGGGGGCTAAATGCAGGACATCTAATAACACTGTATTCTGGCCGTACCTAGGCCAGGGAATCGTAGTAACCACGTCGTACACTATGAGTACACGCATCGTAATATGTCAGACACACTAGCTGAAGAACTAGCAATAAGATAAACACTATAAGCTAGTTTATCCTTATTACGGAGGTCTTGAAGACATTATAATATTACAAAACTGAATACACTGCAGTCCGGTCTGAACAAAAGGGAGCCTAAATACAAGTAGTCGAATACAGTTGACTTCTTGGAAACCAGGGACTTCTTATACCAAAGACTGTTATTACAGACGAATCGAGTCAGTGCTCTTAGCCACCACGGAGCCCTCGCCACACTGTCGAAACATCCGTTGCCCTGCTTGACTTCTGCCGGCCATCAAGTGCGATTCAAAGCGCATTGTGTCTTGTTACGACTCAGCCAGTCGAGGCAGGCCCACATAAAGCCTCGATACAATTTGCTCGATCTGATCGAAATGCCACGCCAGACTTGTCTGCCACAGTGTCGGCCCCACGTCAGGCAAATGTCTGGGAATCGACACAGATTAAAGCAGCTTATCGGTGCGCCTCCGATGTCGACATCTAAAAAGGCAACAAAAACGTCAACATCGGCCGATAACCGACGAAATCTTGCCAGTTGGCTACCTGCTTCATTACCCGGCTAGTGTTCAGAAAAGGACAGTTGCGGAATTACCATCCGACTCGTCACTTTCCTGAAAGACACGTTACGCAATTAGGAAGGTCGAAGAATTTAGAATCGTTCGCCTCGTATAATTTATACCATCGGCACTACGAAGCCTTAGTAGTGCCCCCGAGGCTGGAGCAGTATGGAGCTAACAACGCCGACATACCCGAGACTCAAAAGAACATCGAAGGGGAAAGCACTTGTCCATAATGCTTACGGTCTAACCACCGCAACGTAAGCCAAAGTTTCTTTTGCGCCATTGGCGCACTGGCCTTCCCTTTTCGTATTCCAACTGCTTGACTGGGCCTACGCAAGATACCGGGAGTTGGGTTGATCCACAACTTGTAATAATCAAACCTCAGAGCAAATTCTGGCCTGATTTGATTCACATGGTCATGATTGTACACTTTAGGATGGATAACACTAGATAAGGGGCATTGCCGATTTCAACAATTTCACAACAGACAGATCGGTGAGTATTACAAGCTTATTGTGCAGCGTAGAGAAGCCCAGGCTACATAGTCGACACCAAGCAGCGAATGAACAAATGAAACCATATATACGTCTTGTCTGCACTGCGTCTTCTCTGCATTGTTGTCCGTAGCGTAATAGTCATGAATATTTTTTGAAGCTAGGAAATAAAGGGGGGGGCCCAGCGAAAGTCATGGAGATCAGCTCTCCAGCGGCTCAAGCACCTATTATGAACTACATTCTGATCCTCATACGTAATTACACGACTATACGACACCTTAATAATAGAAGTAATGAATAATTTACTGTTCCCTTCTCGAACGGCAGCTCCTATATTGGTCTTGGGATTTACATTTGAGGCAGGCTAGTTCCGGTCCTTCTATATCTAGTCAATGATAAGAATCATGGTGCACTAACGGTTTGCCAATCACTTAAGCTATTTCTATTTGGGAAAGGCCCTTGATTTGCTTTACCAAAGCGTACGCTGCATGTCCTAACGAGGTTCAGGTATAAAGTCCAAGGCAATTGCCCTTACAACAAGTCTAGATAACATAGCTAGCCAGCCTACCATTGCTTCAGGCCAATCCTGCCATATACCCCGTTCATTTCAAAGCCATCAATCCATTCAAGATTTCCAATATGCTCCAGGCTCTCACTCTTACTCTCGCCGCCATGACGGGCGTCTTTGCCGCACCGGCCACCACCGGCCCAAGTGGTAAGACTTCCATCCACAACAAGCGAGGGGACGATTATTGGGGAGGCGCGGTGCAAGAAGGCCCTTCGGGCACCGGCTGGAATTACGTCCAAGGCAGTGTAGTCGTCCCGAGCTTCAGCGGAGGGGACAAGCAGCATTCCGCAAACATGTGGGTGGGAATCGACGGCGACGACTGCACGAGCGCCATCTTGCAGACCGGTCTTGTAGCGTACGGAGACGGCACATTCTGGCTGTGGACAGAATGGTGGAAGCATCCCATGCAAAGCTACGAGACCAACCTTGGCTTCTCACCGAATGACACTCTGCGCTTTACCGTGCATGCCACGTCTACCACCTCGGGCACCACAACTGTCGAGAACTTGAGCAGTGGACGTGCAGTCTCACATACATTTACAAGTGAGGCGGCTTACCCGCTCTGTGAGACGGATGCTGAATGGATCCTGGAAGACTGGCAGAGAAACGGACAGCCGGTCACCCTTGAGAACTGGGGTACGATTAAGATTTTTGACACTGTTGCCAAAAGTCCCAGGACACAAGTCACGGCTGCTGGTTCTGACATTGTCAACATCAATATCAACGGCCAAACTCTTACTAGTAGCAGTGTTGACTCGGATGGAACCGTTAGCGTCACTTATATTGGTCCTAACTAAAACTGCAATATTGGGACAGTCGGAGAATGAACAGGCAGCGTTTTCGATTCCATGACCCCGAATTCCTGCATGAGTTACAGGCGAGCTCTAAGACTAGGGTGTGCTTGGCCTCTAAGGGCTAAATTTCACCAAAATTACACTGTCTTTTTCGTCCCCTGGAAAACACCAACAAGAAACTTCTGATGAAAGTCTTTCAAATGTACAGAGTTTGTTTTCTCCAAGACTCTCGCACTCCAAGAAAGATAACTGTTACCAAAATGAGTCCATGCCTGTTCAATAAACTTATTTCCTGTGTTTGGGCGCGGGCAGTAATGGTTCGTCTCAATGAAAGCCTTGACTGCCTTGGCAATTCCGCGCTCGTCCATGGAAATATCCCCACAGTCATCAAAATCAACCATCCACAAAGATGTTAGTCGCTTGCTGAAGTCGGTTCGGGAATGGGTCATTTTCTCGTAATTGCTAGTCGGGCCGGTGTAGCTGTTCAGGGTTTGTAAGTCCATGCGCCCTCGAACCTTCTGTTCTTCCATTGGAGAGCTGCCTAGGACAAACTCGACGTCATTGCCATCTATGCGGGTATGCCAATGTAAAACAGCCATAGCATGCGCTAGAGCGTTAATTAGCTCGGGCATGTCGAGATCCAGTTCCTTGATCTGGTTGGCGTGAAGCTTGAAATTGCGAAGGGAAAAAAATCTGGAGCCCATCCCGTACTTTAGGCGTCCAAAGTATAGACGAACCAAGCAGTCCTTGTTTGCTTCGTTGTTTCTGGCCATGGTCTGACCTTGTGGGGGACAAAACTTGTCGATCAAAGCCCATCTAATTGGACGGGGAAGTGGAAATATACGCTCCATGCAGAGGACATGTCTGCGTTTCTTGGGAAACTGCTGGGTGAACGCGAAGTTGTCTATATGTTCGTCCCAGAAAGCATTTGAGTCTGGTGTCGCATACCAAAAACACTCAGGGATTTCAACTTGTCCATCCATGTAGGGCAGTGTCTCAAAGCTAATCTTGACTCGCTGATGCATCTTGTAGTTGTTCCAAAGCTTGTCTGGGTCATCAGACAATGGAAGCTTGTACACAAACACAGTTCCAGGATGTTCAAAGACCTTGCCAATGGAACCTGTTCCAATCTCCTTAAATGTAGCATTGGCGTCGATGGAAGCTTTCTGGCGTGCTGCGAAGGAAGAAGAGGTGGATACAACGGACTTGATAGAAAGCATACGCTTGAGACAGGCTTCTGGGGTTTCGGCGGAGGCTTCAGCCTCCAACTTGTCCTCGAGAGCTAAGTTGGCAATCAGCGCAGCATCGAGTGAGATGGACCTCGATGACACGGAGGAGTCAGTGGATTTGAGAAGGCGGCGGGCATGCTGCTGAAAGTAGTGACCCTTGTCGGGTCGTTTTTGTTCATCATCCATCCTGATGTAGAAGGAATTATTAGAGAAGACACGGATCGTTGATGAAGGAGGGAAGTCGACTACTTGCCTTGCTCTTATGCCCGAAGTAGATTTGATCCTTTCCAGGCAATGAATAACCATGAACACCGAGTGTGAATGGAGCGGAAAGTTGCTTAGTTAAATTTATTTGTTTATTTGTAGTTAGCAATTCAGCATCCTAGCTTTGGCGGTGCAAACGCTCACAGGTGGGGCCAACTCAGTCAACAGAGGCTAGACAATAGACACTGAATCAGTGTCTACCACGAGCAAAGTCAAGCAGTACTCCGCCAAACCATTGTCAAAGTCTCCTGCTATATTAGCGTGTAATATCTGGGCATGTGGGTTTGGACGAACTTGCGGCTAAAAGTTTATGTCGAAGCTTGATGAATTCGGCCCCCACCATCCACGCCAAGTATAAAATAGACCAGACCAGCACCAGTCGTCTTCTGTTTGCAACCTCGTTTGCATCTTCGTTTTCAACACAACTGACTGTCCTATTGTTCACGAAGCACACCCTCGATTGTTCAATATAATTGATCATCACACATTACATCGCTTTTACCCGGTCATGGAATCTGACATATCCCTGACCGCTTTTGGTCCTTTACGACGAATCGGGTTTGGCAACTGCGGTTCGGTATGGGGTACATTGAAGCACAATGCCCACAACAATGCGGACGTCGACATCGACATGATTATCAAACGCGAAGACGCGAGTCCCGGCAGGGACATAAAGAACGAGACTCTGGTTCAGTCGCAAGTATTCCCCGCGGAAAGCAGTCTACAGTTGACCTCGATTCCACAATGCTTCGGTCTCATGGAGACGGACGACAAAAGATGGCAGCAGATCCTGCCACTCCTGCCCGCTGGATTCAAAGAATGCAGGGCCATGATTGCCGAGAAAATCAACCCAGTATCGACGCGAGCGCAGTTGCTCCTCGTCGACAAATACAGCCCCGTGTCGCACCGCGAGGTGTTTCGAAGATCAATAGAGGCGCCAGACGGAAAGAGCCAACATTGCCTGGTTCGCCTCTATCTTGGCCGACGAAGGCAAGCACGTGCTCGCAAAGAGCAGCATCACCCCAGGCCACAGTTCTTCAGCCTCCGCAATTACCCTCTTCACGCCGACCAGGCCGAGGAGCTCCAGCTCCCTTGCAAGCAGTACGCCAAGGCCATGGCAGAGGCACTGGCAACGCTAAACTGGCAAGTCAGGACAGATGGCAATGATGTCGAATTCGTGCTGGGTGCCCACAGACGCGGGGAGGAAGACCCGAACATGCCCCTCGAGGACCATGCCGTCTGGATGCTGGACTTTGACTGCTCCAGGCCCATTGAGACGAATGACTCTGGTCTAGAGTCAATTGCTCGGGCGTTTTGGCGTAACGATCCTTACTTTCCTCAGCCGGGAAGCACCTTCGATCAGGGACGAGAATTGTGGGATGTCTTTGCCGCCGAATATCGGCGGGTTGGTATGGAAGCAGCCCGGGCTTATCATCGTGAAGGAGAAGATGTGGAAAGCCTGTGTGCTTTGGTCGAAGGCACCTTGAGGAAGATTGAGGAAACTAAAGGGAAGTGGACAACTGGGGCGCATTTCTAGCCATGGTGGTGCCTTGACCTTCAAGTCTTGTTTGTAGTTGCCATCCGTCAGCTATCATCACAAAGCCGCCTCAAGTTTTCACATTTGGGCTAGCAAGTTGGGGTTCGAATTCAGATTGGCAGGTTAGGGTACGGAGGGCCAAGGGTCAATGTTAGACTTGGTCTCTTTGTAAAGGTTCGGTCAAGGGGCAACAATATTTGCTCAGAAGAGGGCGACACTTCCCTTCCAATAGTTTTTCACAAGCAAATTTCAAGATGGGCGTGAGAAAAGGGATGTTTGGTACATATTCAGGTTACATCTGGTAGAATATGTCTGGTTCCGGGGATTAATGTCCCATAAAATAGCAAACTCAAATTACACCATGTCCGGCTCTAAAACTATGAAACATTTTCTCGTCGCACTTTACTGCATGTTGATATTGAATTGGAAATGATAACTAATGCGTGAATTCATCAAACCCAATGAATGATTGGATTCGCCCCGCAAACAAGTGCCAAACCCTGCTATATCCTTCAGGCCGTCAACCCACAAAGTTGCCATGATACCCTTTCATCGCACAAAGAGTGCCCATCAGATTTCCCCCTCATAATACAAGGCTATCTGAAACTGCAGCAAGTCTTTTTCAGCTCTTGTATCCACACTGCTTACTGTCAACGAAATATTAGGGGGTATATTTGCTGTTCAGTTAGAGCGCGTTCTTTTTGTGATACTAAGACTTACTAGCGATGGCGGACATTGACGCGATGATTGCAATCAGATGAATCCCCCAGTTCCTCACAATTTGAGGATCGTTGGTTTCTGAAGCGTGGAGATCGGAACTCATGATGCCTAAGCACTTGTCACGAATATTGCAAAACGTTTCAGAACTTACAGAATCATCACAGATGCTCCTCAAGTTGCACCCTTGGCGGAGCGCTTCACGTAGCATTATTCACAGAGTTCGCGGGCTTTGCAAGCTTTACATATACCCAGTTCAAGACTTCCTACAGTTGCGATTCGGGGAAAGCAGGCACTCATGTCAGGAGAAGGGGGCAAGGTTCGCAGCCGAAAAAACGCCATCGAAAACGAACCGGCGGTTACATCTTCTTTTTCTCCCTTCCCTTCTCTCTTTTGTAAGAAAAGTAGTTTGGCACCACTTTAGTAGAAACCGGACACAGATTGACCACTTACTGAGCGAACTGTCAAGGATTATCCCCAGACTTGGCTCGCTTAGTTGCGCGGGGAAGTGGGGGAAGTGGGGGCTCGCCATAGTTGCGAGAAACAACACCACGTGGTTGACACTTGATGTCGTCCGACTTCAATCTGCGGCACACACACACACACACCGGCAACTGGCAGCAGCCACAGTTCAGCCATACGAGAGCCTCGAACAGGTCTGAAACTCGTCACAGACTGCACTCTAAAGAGCTCTGACGGGGGAGAGCTGCTGCGCCACTCTTGGCAGACGGCTCCTCTCACCGCAACAAGGACGAAAACACCCACCCGCTCCTGGCTAGATGCGTCGTCTTCTCCACCTCTCCATGCTCCAAGAGGAGAAGGCGTTTATTTAAGCTTAAGTGGAGAGTTGGGACTGCAGGCTCCTCCTACGTAAATTGCACATTGTGGAGAAAAGAGGCCTCCCGGACGACCAGCTCACGACACGGCGTCAAGATAAGAACTGGGAGCTCCCATAGAGGGCACAGATTCTTTTAGGAAAACTGGTTTGGAAAATGTCGAGGCGAACATGTTGGCCAGGGCACCAAAGCCACAAGAGACACATCATCCCGGAGAAGAGTGTCAATCCTAGTCGAATCATGGCTATCCAATGCTTTGCTTTCACCACGTTCGCCTTGCAGAGCACGTCCAAGCTGATGAGCTCCAATCTCGGTTTTGTGCATTATACCTCCATTCAGCCGCAAGCGAATTCATAGTGTCACGATATCTGGCTCAGGCACTGATCCTTCTCAGCGTTCAAGGATGACCCGCTCCAGATGATTTTCCTGATAAATTGCTCCGCGTCTTGCTGCACAGCCGCCGCCACCTAGAGAGGAGGTTTGTACTTCCTTCCATTTCTTACCATGGTGGGTTGATCGGGTGTTGGCGGCAAGCCAATCGCCAAACTGCATGATACGCACCGAGTATCATCATGATGGGAGAGTAAATTGAGCTTATTCGGCCTCATCAACAGTCTGATTCCCTGTAAATTTGCGGCTTCATGTGCACTTACACAGCCCCGTTAGTTGAATGGATTGATCCGTTGACAAGGCATGGTCTCGATTCTATCTGGCTTGGCGGCCCGAGGTGCAAGCATCGTCCACTCCAACTTATTCCGTGAACCATCTCGGCGCATCACCATTAGAATTTCAACGTCCTCAGCATATAAAATAGTTTTGCTGAGATCCAACCCCGGATACACTTCCTCATCGCTAACCGTTTGCGGCTCGTGGTTGTCAAAATCACAGTTGTATTGCGCCATGCTCGGCAGTTTTATATAGGTTACTTGTCACAATACATACCATCATGTCATGCCGGAGACTTGATTACACGCTTCTTCCTTCTGAACATAATTATCAACCCCGCTTGCACCGCCTCACAAGAGTTTACAAGCCCCATGTGCGACATGCGGATGTCCTTGCGACACCAACTTACACAGGTCCCTTGTGTCCCTTGTTTTGGTAATATCAACTCACACTTAGTATCAAACCCTTTATACGGAAGTCAAAATCAGGCTCATTTTTAACGTGGCTTTATTTTTTATCGCCAAGAAGCAATAGATGCCGAGTTTTGGTTTCAACTCGGGCGGTAATTACCTGATATTTGGCGAGATGCAACTGCCGACTCCGGGATATTCTCTGGTGGCTTCGTATTCATGAATGTGAGCGTGTGTGAATCATGCTTGGCATGAAGCTGGAAACCATGACAGCCACGATATAATTGTCTCCATGGCAAGAACACTTTGCTTGTTTCGCGTGTGGTGACAATGGACACAGCACCACAACATGTACCAAGCGTTGGGTTTTGATGTTCGGCGGGATACTATAGTAAGTTTTAGTCACCTTTGCATCTCTCGCGAAACTTGCACCATCTTCTGTATCACGAACCTAAGCAATACAGCTCATGATGTCGGGGCCGCCCATTGAGGCTATGTCTGCAAGAGGGTGCTTCGAGGCTCAAGTATTTCAAACAAAGAAACCGACAACTAAACCACGCACCAACAAAATTTATGCTTTTATGGAGAGCTGAGGGTGAAGAGCTAACAATGGAACCTCACCGGCTTGCCGAAAAAAATCAACCAACAAACCCCGTCAAGGCCATTGGTTTGGCCAAGAAAACGACGATCAAAGCCACTCTGCATCAGTGGCGGCGCTACGTGAGCCGAGAGCAAACAAGCACTTCCGTATACGCAAACGCCACCAAACAAGCTTAATCCGTGGCGGTGGGAAGATTGATGCGATTGATGCAGCGCAAACCTTCCCAATCGGGCAACCGCGATTCGACGTCTAAGCCGACGCCAAAGTCTTGGCCGTCGATCGCCAAACCACACAGAGACGGACCAAAAAACTCTGACCAATGCTGCGCCCCTTTGCCATCGAAAGTGGACAAAGTGTGACGAGGGAGAGTTCAACACTGGCAGCGACAGGCGTGCGAGCACACAATATCTTGGCCCATCCATGGACGAGCAGGGAGAGGAGGCGAGCGAGGCGCAGCCTCCCCCATCTCCGCCGACGACACACGTACACTTTGCTCGCGCGCCCATCGTCTATTATACTCTGGCCTCGCTTCCTGCCGAGGCCGCAGAGCTTCAGCCTCTAAATACGTGAAGCAAGCCCTCCCTGAAACTCGCGGCCGGTTTGACACTGACATCTCATGAACTGCCCTTGCTCGTCCCCGTTTTATATGTGCTGGCAGACGCAGCCGTGCAGCGTCAGCATCCATCACATTGCGTCCTTGAAGCGTCACATGCTGCCGTATTCATCTTCGGAAACTACGTCATGGCGAGTGAAAAGTCCTCCTCGTCCTTGCTTCAGGTCGGCCCGCGGACTCGCGCCCTCAGCTCTGCCGATACAGTCACCTCTGCCTCGTCGAATCCCCTCCTCACCCCGACCGTGGCCACCAGCCGGACGGCCAGCATCAGTGATGAGCTCTCCGCGGCCCTGCGGCCAGATCCCGGCACCGAGGAGCACTTCTGCGTGGAAAATAACCCGTTTGCCTTTTCTCCAGGCCAGCTGAACAAGCTCTTGGATCCCAAGTCCCTGGCCGCCTTCCAAGCCCTCGGCGGTCTGCGCGGCATCGCAAAGGGCTTGCAGACAGACACAGCCAGCGGCCTCAATGCCGACGAGACATCTGTCCCGAGGGCCATCTATTTTGACGAAGCCGTCCGCGCGTCAGCTCTGAGCAGCATCTGCGAGGACAAGTCTGCGCCGAACCCTCACCATTCATCTGAGGCCTTCACCGACCGCATCCGCGTGTACAAGCGCAATGTCCTCCCTGCAAAGAAGCCGGCTCCCCTGTGGAAGCTGATGTGGAATGCGTACAACGACAAGGTCCTCATCTTGCTGACCGTGGCGGCCGTCATCTCCCTCGCCCTGGGCTTATACGAAACATTTGGTGTGCACAAGCAGCCTGGTGCGCCGCCACCAGTAGATTGGGTGGAAGGCGTCGCCATCTGCGTTGCCGTCATCGTCGTCACGGCCGTTACCTCTCTCAATGATTGGCAGAAGGAAAAGGCGTTTGTGAAGCTGAATGCCAAGAAGGAGGACCGCGAGATCAAAGTCATACGCTCGGGGAAATCATTCATGATCAACGTCCACGACATCCTGGTCGGCGACGTGCTGCACCTGGAACCTGGTGACTTGGTTCCGGTCGATGGAATCTTCATCGACGGCCACGACGTCAAGTGTGACGAGTCTTCTGCGACTGGTGAGTCTGATGCGCTCAAGAAGACGGGCGGCGACCACGTCATGAGGGCCTTGGAAGCCGGCCTCAACCCTAGAAAGTTGGATCCTTTCATCGTCTCCGGCGCAAAAGTCCTTGAAGGTAAGTTTTCTCCAACCAAGCTCACGCATACCAGGATCCTGACAGTTCCCCAGGCATGGGCACGTTTGTTTGCACCTCGGTCGGTGTAAACTCGTCCTTTGGCAAGATCATGATGTCCGTCCGCACCGAGGTTGAGGACACCCCCCTACAAAAGAAACTCGAAGGCCTCGCCTTGGCCATCGCCAAGCTCGGCAGCGCCGCCGCCGCCCTCCTCTTCTTCATTTTGCTCGTCCGCTTCCTCATCAACCTTCCCTACGACGATCGCTCCTCTGCCGTGAAGGCCTCTGCATTCATGGACATTCTCATCGTGGCCATCACCATCATAGTGGTGGCTGTTCCCGAGGGCTTGCCCCTGGCCGTCACGCTCGCACTTGCATTTGCAACGACGAGACTCCTCAAGGAGAATAACCTGGTGCGAATGCTACGTGCCTGCGAGACCATGGGCAATGCCACGACGATTTGTTCTGACAAGACGGGTACTTTGGTACGTAGATAACGCCCCCTACTCAGGACCTAATCACCGATATATTCAACTAATTCTGCTTCTAGACGACCAACAAAATGACCGTCGTGGCCGGTACTTTCGGCACAACCAGCTTCTCCAAGTCAGAGACGGAGGCTGTTTCCCAATGGGCATCCCAGCTTCCTCCTGACACCAAGTCCCTGCTTACGCAATCCGTTGCCGTCAACTCGACCGCCTTTGAAGGCGAAGAAGACGGCCAGCCCGGCTTCATCGGGTCCAAGACGGAAACCGCTCTCCTCCAGCTCGCGAGGGATCATCTTGGCCTGCAGTCTCTGGCCGAGACACGTGCCAACGAGACGGTTGTGCACATGTTCCCCTTTGACTCGGGCAAGAAGTGCATGGGCTCCGTGGTGCGTCTCCAAGACGGCTCCGGATACCGCCTCCTGGTAAAGGGTGCCTCGGAGATCCTCCTCGGATACTGCTCTGCCATTGCCGATGCGCAATCCCTCACGGAAGACGACCTCACAGCCGCCAAGAGACGCCAACTTCTCTCCACCATTGAGCGGTACGCAAGCAACTCCCTCCGAACCATCGGTCTCGTCTACAAAGACTACGAATCGTGGCCCCCGGCGCACGCCGAAATAGCAGACGGCCATGCAAGATTCGCTTCCCTCCTTTGCGACCTCGTGTTCCTCGGCGTGGTAGGCATCCAGGATCCCGTCCGTCCAGGCGTGCCCGAGGCTGTGCGCAAAGCCCAGCACGCAGGCGTCGTAGTCCGCATGGTGACAGGCGACAACATCGTCACGGCGAGAGCCATTGCCGCCGAGTGTGGGATCTACACCCAAGGCGGCGTCGTCATGGAAGGTCCCGTCTTTCGAAAGCTCAACAACGCGGACATGAAGGCCGTGCTTCCCGAGCTACAGGTGCTCGCCCGGTCATCTCCAGAAGACAAGCGGGTTCTAGTCACCAAGCTCAAGGAGCTCGGCGAGACGGTTGCAGTGACGGGCGATGGAACCAACGACGCACCAGCCCTAAAGGCAGCCGACGTCGGCTTCTCAATGGGCATCTCGGGCACAGAAGTCGCCAAGGAGGCGTCCGCCATTGTCCTCATGGACGACAACTTCACGTCCATTGTAACAGCCCTGAAATGGGGAAGAGCCGTCAACGACGCCGTCCAGAAGTTCCTCCAGGTAACAGCCACCTCCCCTCCTGTCACGGCCATCTCGCAGAATGCTGACACTCCCACAGTTCCAAATCACGGTCAACATCACCGCCGTTGTCCTCGCCTTCACCACGGCCGTCTACGACCCAGACATGAAGTCTGTTCTCAAAGCCGTCCAGCTCCTCTGGGTCAATCTCATCATGGACACCTTTGCCGCCCTGGCGCTGGCCACGGATCCCCCAACCGACAAGATCCTCGACCGTCCGCCCCAGGGCAAAAAGGCACCTCTCATCACCACAAACGTGCAGCCCCCCCTTCTTTACTCCCCCGCAACCTCCACTAGAGCTGACAACCGCTTTTAGATGTGGAAAATGATCATCGGCCAGTCTATATTCCAACTCGCCGCCACATTCACCCTGTACTTTGCCGGCGGCAGCATCCTCAACTACGACCTCGACGACGCCCAGGTCCGCCTGCAGCTCGACACCCTCATCTTCAACACCTTTGTCTGGATGCAGATATTCAACGAATTCAACAGCCGCCGCCTCGACAACAAGTTCAACATCTTTGAGGGCATCCACCGCAACTACTTCTTCATCCTGATTAACATTCTCATGGTCGGCCTGCAAGTAGCCATCATATTCGTCGGCGGCAGCCCCTTCGCCATCAGCCCCGGCGGGTTGAACAGCCAGCAGTGGGCCATCTCGGTCGTTGTGGCAAGCATGTGTCTCCCCTGGGCCGTCTTGGTGCGCCTGTTCCCGGACGAGTGGTTTGGCCTGGTTGCCGGCGTCGTTGGCAACCCTTTTGTCATAGTGTATCGTGCTTTGGGGCGCGTGTGGGCGAGGCTCGTCGGCGGTTTGAAGAGGTCAAAGAGAGGCGATGGGACGGAAAGGGAAGAGAGCCGCGTGGAGGGCAATGCTTCTGGCCGGGGGTAAATGCGCCTGCTATTGTTGTGGATGAGCCACTGCCGGTTGTTGAGCCGACTGATGTCGAAAAGGGCCGCTCGCCATGATGACTCTGTTTGATGACTCTGTTTCTGCCTTGGTATTCTTACAAGCCCATAGCCTCTTCATAATAGTTGTTACGATAGATTACGAATTACACTTATGACACATGCGGAGCACGTACCATCCTCCCGTTGCCACTTTGTGTCCTCAGACCGTCTTCCCAATAAAATACTGGCTGTTGGAAATCCAACGTATCACTTCAACCTGAATTTAATAGTCACAATGTAAAGGCACCAAAGAATTGAATGTTGCAAAAAAGCGTCTGTCCTTTTTTTATTTTGGACTCCTCAGTCCGCTCTGGTTGTCCTATCTATTCATGAGGCACAAAGCAACCGGGACAATGTGACCTGGGCATCCTCCAAACCCCAAGTCGGTGTTCCATTTCCTCTGTGCAAAAGGGCTGTCGATAAGAACGAGAGCCTTTTGATGCGTGCCGTGCCCAACCAAAATCCATAACCTATGCGTCGAGTGCGGCCTCGTCCATGCCCTCCGAATATAAAACAGAGGAAAACTGGCCCGAGTGACCTTTCTTTCCTCCACATCTATGTTCCTTGCTCTCATCTCTTTTCTTTCAGAGATCTCTCCATCAAGAGACCAAAATGAGCAATTCCGACCAGAGAACCGAGTAAATCCACTTTTGTCTATATCTGTACGGCGATACCATGACCCTCTATCATGAAAGCGAAAAATATGCCCCTTGGAGGGGGAAAACAACGCCCTCTCTAGGCGAAAGAAACATACAGAATCGTGATGCTCATGACCGGACCTGCTTTTCTCTTTTCCAGATCCATTATATATCACCACGTTTCCGCCAGTGCCTTCAGTTCCCCCATCTCTCAGTCTAAGGGGTATCAAGCGAGGAGGGTGTCGAAATCAAAACAAATGCAATCTATCAGATGCTTCGTGAATGCCCCGTGACCGTATACTGCCATAAAGCCGGTGAACCTAGTAGGCACTCATCCGTCTTCGCAGGTCATGATGCCGCCGTGCCGTCCAATAAAAAAATCATCGAAAAAGTAACATGTAAAGTGAGAAAACAACAGGTAGAAATAAATGTATGCATCAGCAACAAAAAATGCAGTGTTTGTAAAATGCACAGAATTTAGTGCAACCACCGTACGGTGGTCAAGCTCGACCGTGGTCGAGAAGATCAGTGGTAGCAGACCAAGTCTACCACCAGGACTGAGCACCAGGGCCGCCAGGGTTTCCGTAGCTACCGCCGCCGCCGCTGTAACCGCCGCCACCTCCATAGCCGCTTTGAGGAGCGGCGAAGCCGCCGCCGTAACCAGAGCTCTGCTGGGGACCACCAAAACCACCACCGCTGTTGCCGCCAAAGCCGCCGCCACTTCCGCCAAACTTGCGGAAATCACGATTAGCGGAGCCACGGCCACCACCACCCCCACGAGATCGACCACCTCGGCCGCCGCCGCCAAAGGATGACTCACGAGCAATGGCCTCCAAAAAGGGGGGAACCTCCTGGTTGGCTTCCTTGAGAAGCTCCATAAGCTCACGGACGATACCACGGTTGCCGCGGTTGAAGAAAGCAGTGGCAATACCAGTGTTTCCAGCACGACCGGTACGACCGATTCTGTGGACATAGTCATCAACATCGGTGGGCAGGTCGTAGTTGATAACATGAGTGACATTGGGAATATCAAGACCGCGAGCGGCAACGGCAGTGGCTACCAGAATGGGGCATCGACCATTGCGGAAGAACTCGAGGGCGCGCTCACGCTCGCGCTGGGTACGGTCACCGTGGATAGAGGTTGCCGGGAAGCTCTGGTTGATAAGGAAGTCGGAGAGCGAGTCGGCCATGCGCTTGGTCTCGACGAAGATAAGGGTCAGGCCACCGGCGTGGGTGTGGAGGATGTCGAGGAGGACGGATCGCTTGTCAATGTCCTCAACAAATTCGACCTTCTGAGTGATGTTCTCGGATGTGGAACCAACACGACCGACGGACAAGAAAACGTAGTCCTTGAGGAAATCTCTGGCAAGCATCTGGATGTCGCGAGGGAAGGTGGCTGAGAACATCAGAGTTTGACGATCAGCCACAGGAGGCATGTCCTCACCCTCAACAATGCGACGGATCTGGGGCTCGAAACCCATGTCAAGCATGCGATCAGCCTCATCCAGAACAAGATACTTAATGTTGCAGAGGGAGATGCGGCCTCGCTCAATAAGGTCGACCAGACGACCAGGAGTGGCAACCAGGAGGTCACAACCTCGCTCGATCTGGCGGAGCTGCGAGCCGATATCGGCTCCGCCGTAGACAACGCAGGGGCGGACCCAGGATCGGTATGCAAATTTGCGGGCTTCGTCATAGATTTGAGAAACCAGCTCACGGGTGGGAGCAAGGATCAATGAGGTAGGGTAGGCCTTGCGCTGACGGCCAAACTGGCCAGCAGCATTGGCTGGCACGGGCGAAGGGCCATTAATGAATGCCTGGGAAAGTATGGGGAAAAGAAAACCACCAGTCTTGCCAGAACCAGTCTGAGCACAAGCCATGAGATCACGTCCACCCATGACAATAGGGATAGAGTATTTCTGGACAGGGGTGGGAACCTTGTAGTGAGCCAGCTCAATGTTGCGGCAGAGATGTTCGTCCAGAGGAGGAGTGGTGAACTGAAGCACGGCCTCGGGGACATCGTGGCCAGATGCCTCCACGGGGATATCGTCGTACTTCTCAAAGTTGATACCAGTATGCTGCTTGGAAGGGTCGTCGGCTGTACCAAAGAGTTCGCGCTCCAGACGGGGGTTAGCCGGTCCGGGAACGTGCTTTCCATCGCGCCACTGGCCATCGCCAGAGCCTCGGGCAGCGTAGCCACCACCGCCAGAGTGACCATCGTGGCCACCACTGGAGTAACCACCTCCGCGGCCCCCCCAACCGCCGCGACGGTTACTCTGGAAAGTAGGGGGGGCAACGCCGTCGGGTCCATTGTTCCAGTTGTTCTGCTGGCGACCAGCATAGTTACTGTTGTTACTATTGATTCAACGTTAGCCATTGTGCGATTGAAAACATACAAAAAGAGAGTAAGGGACAAGACTTACCCAGCCCAAGAGCTATTGCTGAGGCCATTGGGTGCGCCGTTGGGAGCACCGCCGTTGGGAGCACCGCCGTTCATGGGAGCAGCAGCGGGGGGTGCAGAGGGACGGTTTCGCATATGCGGTGGGATGTACGAGCGCTGAGGCTGTTGGCCATCGCCAAGGCTCAAGCCGCCCATGTTGAGTTGTTCCGCCATGTTGGAAGTGAAGAGCGACGTGTTGTTGTATCGGTTTCTTCGACTTGTAGCGTGGACTTCGTAAGAGGTGCTCTTCGTATCTGACAAAGATGCGAAAAACAAGACAAGGAATCGATAGTGGTAGGGAGAATCACCCTCGCAAAAAGACGAAAGAGTGAAATCAGAACTGCGTATCTGCCGAGTCGCACTATGAACGATTTGACAGAAGAAAGGAAGGGCCTGTGCTCCTAAGTTTCTTCCCCAGATATATTATAAAGAAAAACAGCGAGTGCTTGCACGTTCCCTCGAAGAAGCAAACAGAATCTTCAAAGGAAAGACAGACGGTCTCGACAATGACCTTGGATGATGAGAGAGGATGAGAGGAGGGGAGATGAAGGGTTTTGTGGTAAAGAGGTCTGAGTTTGTGGGAGGAAAGGAAAAGGGACGAGCGAGATGTTGGAGGCGAAAAAGGGAACGGGAAAAATTGGTTCGCGGGTGGCCACCACAAAGAGGCTAGTGCCCAATCGAGGAGAGTCAAATTTTTTTTTACTCTGCCGACTGGACCACTTACAAAACGCACCTGCGCACCTCGGGGCTCCAGATCAGCTGGTGGCAGCCACTGACAGAGCATTACGGCAGCCCCAGGCCCAGGCGCTAGCCAACGAGACACCCCAAGTGCTGCGATGGTCGCGTACTGAAGTACCTAGGTACCTGGAGGCTTGTTCGTCGCGAGTTCTACTCGGTACCGGCCTTTGCTTTAGCAACCTTCCTTTATAACAAGTCGAAGCCAAGGCCCAGAAACTCAACTGTTCCTCGTCACTCTTCTTGTAAGCCTCTTTGATAGATTACTAGAGAGACCGCCGTCAAAGATACGGCCAACCCTCGTCTCCACGTTAGGCGCCGACATGGCACCTGGTATCTGACGGACGCAAACCATGCGCAAGGCAACCCCGACCAGCCGGCGCCTTAGCTATCTGGGTACCCCACATGTATGGGACGGCCAGTCCGCCTAGAAAAAGCATAGGACATGACTCAGACTGTGTACCTCAAAGGTACTTATTTCCACGGCACCATGCTATTGTTGCACGAACGCCGGTGGTATTAACGTCATTACAAACCCTCAAGCATCTGATGGGATAAGAGATGGGATGCATATCAAGCCTAGCTCACGTGAAGAGGCACAGTCTGCCACCAGACCGTATTCTTATTGCTGATTCCACATCCTCGATTCATGTCCTTCGATTCTAATACTCTCTTCTTGCCGACATATTAACTGTCGCTCAAACAGGCGTTTCGCCCAGTTACACACCTACCTACCTAGGTAGGTAGGTAGGTAAGAAGGTTTGCGTGTACGCAGCTGACGTTCAGAATGCCTCAGCCTTGCAACGAATAGAACACCCAAGATGATCTGAAACAAGCAGATTTGGTGCAATATCTGTCATCAGTTTAGGACATTGCGCGTAGCACCATATTAGATTGACCTTGATAGTTCTCCTCAACCGAGAAGTTTCCGACCATTGACTTCCAGGCTTTGGCAATTTCTAGGCCCAATGTTGACAACTGTGTCCTCGCCACGCTGCTGGTGTCATCAGAATCCTTGTGTGTGGCGTAACCCAGTTGCCCGTCTACCTTGACACCTCAATGACGGTGGGACGAGCCACGGGCTAAGCACCTAATCAACTCGACAGGATAACTACCCAAAGACGGTCGGCTTTTTGTCGTCCATGTTCTTGCAGCTCAGCCTGTTGCCTAACTGCAACCTTGTTTATATTATTCTAAACCACTCCGTCACTGAACTGACACCGATCTCACTCCGCCTACTCCGTACCTAGTAGGTAATTGACCCGTGGCGTTGCCGGGTATGCAGCCGTACACGCGAAAGGCAATAATTAATCTTCTTTGTAACCCTCAGTACTTGTGACAACGCAGTGTAGTCCACTAGATCCAGGCAAGTAATACACACATCATCCGCAGTTCATCTGTTCTGCAGAGCATATTGGTAGTAGCACATTAGCATCGCAAAGCCACGTACGTGATGTCAAGAAGACATCGTCTTATTTATCAGCCTCAAAAGCCGGTTATCATAATATTAGTACAGTTTCCGCCTTTCGTCCCGCCTCTAAGCGCTCTTCACAACTTTGTCATCATCCAATACTATGTCTACAATTCCGTCTGTCTTGATTGCCTTGACCACCATGCCTTTGAAATCAATTGGTAACCGTCGCTTCAGCTCATCCGTGCACATCGTTAGAAGCTTGATGCCCTGACCAAGAGTAATGTCAGGGTGGTGATGCTTGTCCAGGATAGACAGGCAGTAGTATCTTCGCAGAGATCAACGTTAGCAAATAACGGATGCTACTCAACAAAAAAATTGAGAATGGATTTGCTTTTAACGAAATACATACTGTGCATAACCATGAGCGGCATAAGGAACCTCAGCTAGGGACGCCAAATAATCCAGCCAGTACAAGTGAGGTTTTCCCGTAATGGGATTAACTCCTCCCATCAGCAGGTTAACGTTGTAAGGGTGGCGCGATCGCAAGCTCGTAGCTAGCTCTCCGCGAACAAAGTGTGCCAGTCCTGAGGGCGACAAGTCGGTCTCGTTTCGCATCGAATAGAGCTGAGCATTTCTTTGGATGTACTCGGCGAATTGCACTGCAAAGCTTGTCAGCATTCGGCTTTTGCTTGTCCATCATATGACAGCTTCTGGAGACTCCGCGGAAAGAGTTTCAACTCCTCGTACCTGTATCTCCAGCCTCTCCTGAAAATGCCATCAGGGTGTGCTTGTTCAGTGCTCTTGTCTTGTCGTCGTCGGCTTTGAGGATCGTTGCGCCACGCATCGCTGCCTTAGAAGCGGCAATGATGGTGAAGTCCTTGCCCGTAATTCCCAACAGAACCTCCCTATCCCACGATGTTAGACACCCGTTCCTTAAGATCAGCTGTGGACGGATGATACGTACATGTTGCCACTATTTCTGGTGTTTCTGTTCTAGGTTGTTGCGGTGGGGAGGAGGTATAGTGATGAGTGAATGGAGGTTAGGTGTAGCTTGCTTGGAAGCAACGAGCTCACGCCGCGAGAAGTCCCATTGACCCGCTAGGCTGTAGCGCTGCGCGTCAATGAGGATGGGCTGGAGACTGCCTATTGATTTTGCCATGTCCCACCGCCCGGCGCCCGGAGGCACTATTCACCGCAAATGTCGCTTGATTGGCTACAGTGCGCACATATAGTGGGGTCTCGGCTTTCTGTCTATCCACCTCGAACTTTTTTTCTCTGCCCGTAGAGAGACCCTGCACAGAAAATCACAGACGAAGGCGAGACGGCAAGTCAGACCGCTCGAATTCACCAGGCGAGCGACAATGTCGTCTTTTTTTACAATCCCTGGCTCGCAGAAAAAGCGAAAGCGGCCTTCTGCTCCAGAAGCGCCAAAGAAAAGAATTGCTGGTGCAAAAACATCCTCTGCCAAATCCTCCACCAGGGCTGGTGCCGCGAGTTCTAAGCGGAAAGTCGAACGAGACGAATCGATCTCTGGTAGCGACTCCGACGACGATGAAAGCTACGACAGCGCCTCAAAACCCGGTGACGATGAAGACGTAGAGGACCGTCAGAGCTCAGACGATGAAGGCGAAACCGCGGCCGAGAAAAGACTTCGCCTTGCTGAGCGCTATCTCGAAAACATCAAGGAGCACGTGGATGAAGCTGGCTTCGATGCTGCGGACATTGACCGGGATCTGATTGCTGAACGGCTTCAAGAAGATGTAGCTGAGACCAAAGGCAGGGTCTACCGCCAATTGGCTGCGCAATTGGCATTCAATAAAGCATCGCAAACCTTTTTCCGCACTAATACCAACTCAGTCACATGTATCGCCGCCCGCGCACCTTTCGTGTACACTGCGACAAAAGATCTCGTTCTACACAAATGGAGAACTCAAGATCTTCCTCAATATCAATTTCCTCAGACAACAAAAAGAAAACCCAAGAAACCGCCTGCGCCGCCAAGAAAACGACCCCATTTGGAGGCGTGGATTAAGGGCAACAAGAGCAAAAGCAAGGACAGAAATTACAAGAGACACACGGGTCAAATTCTGGCAGTGGCAGCCTCCCCGGACGGCAAATATGTTGTGACGGGTGGCGAAGACAAGAAATTGATTGTCTATGAAGCTGATACGCTGAAACCGATCAAAGTCCTTACACATCATAGAGACGCGATCACAGGACTGGCATTTCGTCGCGGCACTAATCAGTTGTATTCGTCATCGAGAGACCGAACCGTCAAAGTATGGAGTCTGGACGAATTAGCCTACATAGAAACACTCTTCGGGCATCAAGACCATGTTGTCGATATCGACGCCCTTGCCCAGGAGCGCTGTGTGTCCGTCGGCGCAAGAGATAGAACGGCCCGTTTATGGAAAGTCATGGAGGAGACGCAACTCGTTTTCCGTGGCGGAGCGGTCGACAAGAAAAATGTTCCCCAGGATATTGACCCGCGGTCGCTGCTCCACGAAGGAAGCATGGATCGTGTCGCCATGATCGACGAAGACCTCTTTGTCACTGGAAGCGACAATGGTGCCATTGCACTCTGGAGCGTAACCAAGAAGAAGCCGGTTTACATCGAGCCCCTTGCACACGGCTTAGACCCTGCTATAAATCCCCTCGACGCCTCAGCAGAAGTCAATCCTGACCCGAAAAATGTCGTTCCCGCACCTACGCCACGTTGGATCACAGCTCTCAAGACAATTCCATACTCAGACATCATTCTCAGCGGTAGCTGGGACGGACACGTTCGTGTATGGAAGCTCACTGAAGACAAGAAGAAAATTGAGCAGATTGGCGTGCTTGGTGACTTTGCTGACGACTACGACAATGAGTCTGTTAAAGACGCTCCTAGCACCAATGGCACCGCAGCGTCGTGCCGTCCTATACCTGGACTGATCAACGATATTGCTGTTTTTGAACGTGGTGACCGTGGCAAAGATGGGCTATGTGTGGTTGCTGCGGTGGCACAGGAACACCGTTTCGGAAGATGGAAGGTATTCAAGGGCGGTGTACGCAATGGTGGTGTCGTGTTTGAAATATCGCGGATACCTACAGCCCAATTGAATGGGGATCATGATAATTCAGGTTCTGATGACGATGAGAGTGATTCATAGCGTGGAGCATTGTATATAGACCTCATAGTCTGGCGTCCGGGCATTCTTGTTATTAAGAAAAGCAGCTGTCGGCATGAATTTGCTGGTGACCATTTGATAATTCCCGTCATCTTCTGCCGTATTCTAATTTAACAGGTACATAAATGCAGGACTGGTAGGGGAGTCCACTACCTCAACTTGCAAGGCTCATCTGCGAAGGGGGCAATTTACTCTAGCCGGTTCAAGGCCTCCAAACGCAGTGTGTAGCGAAATATGTATATTCAGCGTCATATATATGTTAATAATACACTCACATACCGTCACCATCCATTTCAGTCAGGCCCAATCATCATTGTGTCTCCTCCAACACATCAACAAATCATTGATACCTAAAACAGCCCTCTACCACCAAAACCAATGCTTTTTCCACTGCTTGCGCTTCACTTCATCCCTAGAAGCTCCAGATCGGCCGGCAGCCGTCCCATAGCATTGACAATGTCTCCTCCCTTCTCTCCCCTCGAGCAGCGCCTTCATCAGATGCCCAGATCTCATCTCACTTGGTCATTGGAGGTGGTCAGTAAAAAAGAAAGTAACGCCGAGCGTTTCTATACTTCCCTATAGCCTATTATCATCCATGAATCTTCCCCCCAAGTTCTGTTAGGCCCATAGTAGCCGTTTGCCGGTAGTTCCAGACATTTTGTATGCCGCTCCACGCGGCCGGCAGTCCTCCCACGAGACATGTGCAGCGGTTGTTGATACGGTGACTGTTAGTCTAAGCTGTGTCTGGGGGTTGTCCACTAGACAATCAGGACGTAATGAACCGCACATGTATAGTGAAGCGTGGCATATCATAGACGATATAAGCGATACTGCAATTCCATTCTCGGTGTATTTTTGGAATGATAGTGCCGTGGCAGCGGATGGCGGCTCGGGGAGGGATTGAGGTTCATCAGTGTAATCAGCATCAGGTCTGAGACGGGCGGTAATGATCAGGGTGTTGGCATTATTGCAGAAGACGCTAAGATTGCAGATGGCTCAAATTGTGCCCAGCGAGGAGTTGGAGTTTTGATCATGTACGACGATTTTGACATGTCTGGCTCCATAGAATCAATCACCTTTTCGATGGGAAAAGAGTTGAAAAAAGACCATGTCCTTGGCTGTTGATCGCACCAAATTATTTGCACCATTTTATCTCGAGCCATTCACCCCTTTTCTGCCCATGCATGAGTTACATGTCATTGCATTCGCCGAGAGCAGGATGCAGGAGTGCAACCAGACCGCATCTCCACATGCCGATGCGAAGCAGGGGTCTGCCGCCAACGTCATCCCAAGCTCAGTTCAACTCCAGCGACCACATCACCAGCAACCGCCAGGCAGCATTTCATCACCACATCCCAGCAAACTCAACCGCACCCGCACCCGCACATCAATAGCACAACCCACAAACTGCCAAGTAGCGAAGTGAATGAATCGCCCGTCCGGCCCTCGTCCGAAATGATGTCCTCTACCAACGAGGAGGATCCTTTCCTCCACGTCCAGCAGTAAGCCTACCACCGCAACCACCGCCCAAGATAGCCCTCGAAACAAAGCTCACAACACCAGGGACGTCCTCACCCAGCTCCAGTCAACCCGCCCGCTGTTCGCATCCTACCTCCGCATCCGGTCCCTCACCACGACTCCCTCCTCCCCCGAACTCGCCTCCGCCCGAACCGACCTCGAGGCCGCCCTCTCCACGCTCGCCGAAGACCTCTCGGATCTGGTCGCCTCTGTCCAGGCCATCGAGTCCAACCCCTCCCAGTATGGCATCTCGTCCGCAGAAGTCTCCCGGCGCAAGCGACTCGTCTCAGAAGTAGGCGGCGAAATCGAGGACATGCGCGAGGAGCTGCACAAGAAGATCGACCACCAGCCCGCCGCCAGAGAAAACCTCCCCGACCCGGATTCTTTTGCCGTCGGTGACGGAGACGGCGACGGCGACACGTACGCCGAGTTTGAGCAGCAGCAGCAGCTGGAGATGATGCGCGAGCAGGACCAGCACCTGGACGAGGTGTTCCAGACAGTAGGAAACTTGAGACGCCAGGCAGACGATATGGGGAGGGAGCTGGAGGAGCAGAGGGAGTTGCTGGAAGTTGTTGACGACACGGTCGACAGGGTGAGTGGGACGCTGCAGAATGGGATGCGGAAGCTGCAGCATGTCGTGAGGAAAGGCGAGGATCGGTGGAGTAGTTGCTGCATTGCCGTCTTGATATTTGTTTTGATCCTGCTGTTGGTTCTCTTGTTGATTTTGTAGAATACCCGGAAAGGGAGGGGTCGAGAGAGCGAGGCCCTACAAGGATGAGCGAGTTCTTTCTTATTATGTATATACAGGCTTGATCACGGAGTTTACGGCGGGAAATATCATGCTGCAATGGGTTTTTGTGTATCGGAATTCGGTATCATTATAAGCATATACAGCACTAAAACTCATTTTTATACTGCTATCAGTTCTAGGCGTCGCTCCAGGAACCATCTAAGTCTTAAAACGCCACCATATGCAATCGGTCCGTCACCTTCTACCTGCCAGTTGCCGAGCATTCGATGTACGCATATTATACTCATTTCCAGCCTATGCAAACGCCAATCCACTATCTGAGCGGAGGATCTCCGCCAACGCACGCAAAGGACCCGCCGCGGACGAATTCGCAGGCGCTCGCTTGGGGAACTCCACCAACGCTAATTGCAATGCAGCTATGGCGGCGTTTCCATAAAAGTTGATGAATCGGGATTCGTGGCCGGCAATCATGGAACGCAGAACGACGAGTTGCGTATTGGAGATTTCGGCGCTCGGACAGTTGACAATACTAGCAAACGCCTTCCAGTAGTGGGTCGGGGGATAGGGGTTCGTTTTGGAAGCCTTGCTAAAGTCGCGAAGAGAAATAGATGCAAAGCCGGCACCGAGACCGGCCATCCTTTCATTGTGGGTTTGCTCTGGAATCCATGAAGGACCGTCTTTCTTCCATCCAAGTGCCTGTTTACCCTTTTCTGTTTTGTCGTTTCCTCTTGATCCAAATAGAACGGGGCACACGACTCTGAATTTAGCCACGAGGATGTCAATCAAGGACTGGCCTCGCCATGAAAAGTCCTTGTGGGAGAAAACTTGAGCGGCGAATACGCCAATAGGATCAGCGGCTTTGGGATTTGCTTCGCATTCCTTGATGAATTGGACAATGATGGCCTTGGCACAGATATTCATAAGGTAGATGAATAGTGAAGGAAGTTCTGCACCGTTGTTTGGGATGTCCTGCGTTGAGGGCTCTCGCGGAACAGCTACAAATTGACCCACGTCAACAGGGGGGCTGGGCAGTTGACCGTCTAATGACTGCCTCAAGAAAGACATGATTTTGGTTGTCTGTGAATAGTTAGCCAGAAAGATTCTTCACAGTGCGAGTAGGCCAGCTCTAGTTACTTACAGATTCGACGTTAGCCCCCTTTCCGTCAGACAGTTGTCCAATAGACATCCGAATCTCTCGACGGATAGCGCCAACTTTTCCTTTGAGTGGTGATCCTGCCACCTTTGACACTGCTACAATGTTCTTGCGCAGCTGCTTCAGAGCCTGATGAATACGAATATATCGATCAGAGAGGGGATCAACAGGCGACTTTGGCAACTGTGGTGTCTGACTCGGTGCAACGGGGTGTTGTGGTTGAGACGTTTTCGTGTCCGGCTGTGATGTTTTGTTCTGGCTCAGAACAGATGCTTGTTGAGTTTTGCTTTGCTGGCCAGCAGCTGCGAAAGGACTGCTTGGTATGGGTTTGTCCGAGTTGGAGAACAAGCCGTTTTGCTGCGGCGCTGGTGCTGAAGGCTGGGTTTGCGCTTGCGTTTTTGCCAGCGGCTCGGATCCCTTCGCTTCCTGGGGTTCGGGTACCAAAGATACTGGCTTCTTCTCCCCGGCCGGCTTCTCGACCGGCTTGGCTGGCTCAGGCGGCGGAGCCGGCGGCTTGGGGATCGACTTCGCTTTGAGTTCTTGCAGTCTCTTCTCTTCTGCGGCGATGGCAGCCTCGGCCTTTAGTCTCTCTTGCTCCCTGCGTTCTTGTTCCAGTATACGGTTGTGCTCTTCCTTGAGTTCGTGCAGTTCGTATACTCTGATAGCGGCTTCTCTGACCCGATCGTGCTCGGCTTGGGCCGCTGCGAGCGCATCGCGATGGCTCAATTCGTTGTTTCGGCTATCTAGGAGAAAGTTGGACAGATACGGTCGGTCTGGACTCGATAGCAATTGACTCCTCCTCAGCGGAGAGGAGTTTGCCATTGTGTTTGTGGGATGCCGCACAGGGTGAAGAGAGCCGTGCTATCGTTGCTGCATTGGAAAAATGAACGTGATTCGGGAACAAATGAGTTTGATTAGATTTGGAAAGGGAGACTCCGACTCCAAGGCGTCATGTGGGCAGAGATTGCACGGCTTCTAGGTTGTCGAGATGGAGACGCTGCAGATCGGTTGCTAGGTACTTAATTAAGTATACGCGAGTAGGTTCAATTGGAATCTCTGTTCCTCGATAGTGGCATCTCGATAAGGTGGTACGTACTCCGTACGGAGTACCGCGTGTTGATACCGGATCCGCAAAAATAAAATCCCGGCGTAATGTAGTACTCCGTAGAGTACTCCTAAATGGCGGTCAAATCTGTGGATCTGCCGAGCATGTACTCAGTACATCCCTTTGAATGTGCGGAGGTGCGTTTGCTGTACCGGCCCCATTTTTATACAAAATCTTGAGGAATACCTTTTCAGTAGTAATATGCCCTGCTATCATGCTCATGATGTGATAAGTGTAAAGCGACCTTATGTATATGTAATACTCTTATTATCACGTTATTTTACTGTAAAATTAAGTATATTAAAATATAAGCTCTCTTATTGGGTCACATCCTGGTTCGGTACAGCAAACGCACCTCCGCAAATTCAAAGGGATACAAAAGTTTGCCCTATTCGTCCGGCTTTAGGGTAGGAGGACGGACTAACAGACAAGAGAAGAAGGCAAGTCGTTGAATTATCAACGGGCGGCCTTGGCGGCAGGAATTCGTAAATCAACAGCTTCACAAGACTGAGCGCGAATGCGCCAATTCAGTTTCGAGACAAACGACGCCGTTGTATGAATCTGGTCTTTAGCAAGTTCTATAACACCGTGGCTTAAGTCATGTATTGCTGTGACAACAAAAGTTCGTGCGAGTTGGACTGTTTCGCATTGGTGTTTTGTGATATGGCCTCATCATGAAACGGTCAACGGTGAATGGTCGAGCCACGGTTGATGATATCCACAGGCTGTGTTGGAGTAATGAGACATATGTAATCTCCCTCCGCGGTCAAAGTTCTTGCCTGGCAATGGATGATGTCAAGATTGAGCCGCCCCGCTGTTTCACTCGATCAACGGTTCTACCGGTTGGTTCTAGAAACGGTTGACAGAAGCAAGCAGCTCATCCTGAAGCAAGGAGTAATATCCAGAGATACGAGTGATCCCCCCTCGTGGTCTTTGGACTACTCAAGTATAATATCCTGGTAAGTGCGGTGGATGTGGTAGTATTGGGTGCGGGCAGAGCCGACATCTGGACGCACCCGAGCTCTCAGCAGTCGGGTGCCTCGTTGCACGGAGTAGGCGAATATGAAGCCGGACGACGAATATTGGACGCCCAACCTGATACCAGGCCGTTTGGCGCCACTCTGTGAACAAAGAATACTCGAAGAGAACAAAAATATCCGACAACAAGGTGTCACCGTGGCAAGCGCCTTGTTCCGCGGGCTAGGATCCAGCCCGAGCAGGGGTTTGGGTCTAGGGCTGCATCACGGCGAGTAGCGTCACTGAAGCCAGATACTACAGCAATCGGGGGCCAGAGAACAGCTCGAGCCCAGGTGACGGGGCATCCAAGGCGCCGCCGCCGCAGAGAGAATGGGTGGACATGCACGCACCATCATTCAACGTTTGCCACGGCGGGAGGTGTGCTGAGAAGTGTTTTTGGTGGCGCCAACAGGCCATGTACATCAATTCGGTGCCTCACCGAGGTACTCCGTGCCCCGTACTAAGAACTTAGTAGGTTGGTTGAAGGGGATCTGCCGGCACTTGAATTGTTCCATGTTGGACTCGACAGCCCTCGACAAACTTTGTAGCTCGAATCACGACGTAGGGCCACAGGGTGCCACCAGAAAACTTGCCGGCGCCACGTCCATGTCGCTCAATGTTGGCAATGGCGCTTGAAGGTTTCCGCCGACCGGAAGCTTGAACCGATGGTGAAATGCACGGAGAACTCCGTACAATCAGCGAATGCAGTAATCAGGTCCCTGAGGCACGTACGTATTTTACATGTCTGATACACGTTCAATTGGCAGATGATGAGTGCGTAGAAGCCGGGTGCAGGTGGCCACTTGCGCAATCTTGGAGGCCAGTCAGCAGCACTTTGTACATAGTCTGTTCATGCCGAGTTCCCCAGGCAGTTGGCTCAATTGATTAATTCATGAAATGAGACACATCAGACCGGACTGGACACGTCAAGTACTTGAGTACTACCAGACTTGAAGCCCACTGTAATAGCGCCTGAAGTGCAGGCACTGTAGGCGCCTACAATGTTGGCCCAACTGCCAGACTTTACAGGACAGACCAGGCAAATCAATCGACCGCCCTGCCCCTCCCCAGCACCCCCAGGTGCATGTGCCCCCAAGCTTCAGTCCCCGGTCTCCCGTCCCCAGCCAAGAGAGTTGGCGAGCACCAGTTGACTTCGGGTCCTAGAAAACTGCCATCATGCCCAATTGACTCGGCTCGGCTCTCCGTCTCCTCCCATCACTCCATCCATCACTCACCACCATCCTCACTCATAGTCTCGTCGGAGCTGGGCTTCCCCCCTCTCTTCATTCCATCCATCCCATCTCTGCCTTCCTTTCCACTGCTTCACCATCATCACCGCATTGCACGCTCCTTGGCTCTGAACGAGCTCGCTTTTTGCAATCCAGCCGCAATCCCACCCTCCTTTTGGCAACCACGTACATCCTCTTCGTACCAGCCAGCCTAAGCTTCGGGGCCTTGCTCGCTACTGTCTCTAAGCCAGCTTCCAATCGACCACCCAACGGTTCAATACCTATTCTACCGATCATCATCATCGCTTCAGGGCCTTCCGTCTCGTCTCGACAAGATCTCAATACCTGCAGCGAATACAACAAATACAACAGTGACCAACTTTCTTGCCACGCCATTGCACTGCATTGCACTGCATTGCACCGCGTTGGCCGCACTCGACGTGCCTCCAGAGAACCCCCCCATCCAACTGTGTGCTGTTCGTCTCTGATTAACCATCATGGAGCCGCAGCAACAGCAACAACAGCCGCAGCAGCAGCAACAGTCGGCCCAGCAGCAGCCGACTGGCGTCCCTGGTCCAGCTGGGAGAAGACTGCACATTGCCCATCGGCGAAGCCCCTCGGAGCTGACCCCATTGATGAGCATGTTTGCCAACCCTGGAAGTAAGTTGCTGCGAGTCACCTCGAATTAAAGACAAACCCTTTTTT